TCTTACAGGATAAGGTCCCAGGCTTTCGGCCCAGCCACATTACGGTTCACAACCTCTACCAGTCTTGTTTGGAATGCACTTCGCGGGTTGAAATAAGCTCGAGACAGGCAATATAAGATGTATCTTAAGTGATAATGCCTCAACTGCTACAAGCTGGGAACAAATCTAAGCTTTAGCCTATCTGGCGGGCCCCCTCTCAGCGCCCAGCTCACGCACCCATCACACTTTGCCCTTGTGCTCCTCAGGCAGTCCCCTGCAAGTGGGCATGGCGGATGGGCTCGTTTGATCTCACATTATAATACAGTGTTACATTGGCGTCTCTGTCAGACGTCCAGAGTCATACTCGTCTCAAGCAACATGGTGTACTGTAGTGATGGTAAGAACCGGGGCTGGTTTCTAGGGGACAAAACTTGCACAGGATTGCCAATGCCGACCGCCCAAGTTGTCCTCGATGCCACTATTTTGTGGAGTCTAGTCTTTGGGAAGGTAGCATGTGAAGGATAACAGACGGGCTGGATTATTGTGCCGTATGCCACACATATAGAGGCTTTGTATCTTCAGAATCATGGGCTAAGATAGCACTCGCAACTACCCACTATTTTGGGTGGAATGGTCCATTTTAGGATACGCTTCTGCGTCAGGGACTCGTATGGTTGTGTAGGGTTTGAGTCTGATCATTCAAGCTCAAACTATGATCGGCATGAGACTTGAGCTTCTGAAATGTGTATCGCGGCATGGGCAATATTTTTACGGAAGAGGAGTCTAGATCCAACCCAAGATTTGGGAAGCGGGGCAAGCGTATGAGTGACAAGAATATTCAAAGAAAGTGATACGAAGCTACATGCTGTGCATAAGTGGCGCAACTATAACGGATGATTCTACTGGCAACTCTAAAACGCCAGCAGTGCATTAAAGCCATTCAGGAAATCATAGTAGGATGGCTGTGCAACCGCTACACGAGCGGCGGGAAGTTGTATAAACTTCTCGTAACAAGCATGACGAAACAAGCTCTCGTATCACGAGATTAAAGCAGCTACTGGTGGTCTGGCCCGTATCTAGCTCGTATTACCACACTTGCTACGAAAGGCTACCAACGGTATCCGACTGCCGCCCCTCCATCACCTTCTGCATATCTTCTGAAGCGGTTATAAGTAGCCACGCCCGGACGCTGAAACCAGGATTGCCTAGAATATAATTGGACTCATTCCTACATCCATTCCAACACCATAAATCCTTTCTCTATCAGCAATCTATCCCAATATCTAAAGCAACATGCCCGTTCCCCACTACGGTGTCTGGGTTTGTAAGCCGACTCGGTATGTTGCCCAACGACATGGCGTACGCACTCCACACATCGAGCTTTATTTCAAAGATGACGACTCCGGGAGGGAGCGAAAGGCCGCCATTAATGTGAAATCGAACGGAGAAGACTCTCGCTTGGTGTTCTGGTCTTCTGATGACTTTGCTCATCCTATCACTATTCAACTTGCCCAGCTGGATCAAGGCTTTCATTCGATCCCGGATCCTCGTGGTCGTGCTCGAGATCTCGTGGGACTAGACTATCTGCGACTGCGCAACCTTCTGAATCTCGGATCTGGACGAGTTCTGCCGCATGATATTCCTGGCCGTGATAATGATATTCTGGACGTCGTCCGGCCGATTCTAGATCGAGCAATCAGGAGCTCAGCAAAGGTGTTTATCTTTGGCTCATCCTTCGGATCCGGGATTCATGATGTCCATATGAACCAAGGTAGTCTTCCTCGGTACGACAATGGCGTGTATCAGGACGGGGGCTTGCTGATTCAATTTGCCGATGGGCATTGGGAAGCAGTCTTCCTGGCCTTTGCCTCCCAAAGGATTCCCACCGACGATGTGGACGGGCTGCCGGAGCGACATAGTCGAAGCCTGTTGCAGATCCTGGCTCCACGAGAACACAATCTCTAACGAAGTCGATTTAAAGGCTGGTGGTAGTCAATCAAGGGTTTTTTTTTGTTTCTTCAAGACTTTATCCGTAGAAAATTACAATGCCGTTCGTATCCAATCATCATCTGTGGGAAGTCTTAGCTTTAGACGCAGAGGGTCTTCACTAAGGTCATGTCGCTGGGAGACTCTCAGATGGTCCCTTGAAGTTACTTTCATCAGCTTGGGAAGCTATAATGTGCAAGATTACCGTAAAACAAAAGTCACCTTTCTCAAGGGGCATACTGTTCACCACCGATACATGAGTGTGCCTGTCCACACCGAATAAGTGCCACGATTTCGCGATGATCAGACTCTTTGCCCATATTCCGGGTATACTGCTTCCCCACATCTGCATCACAATCGTCAAGTCTGGGACAGAATTTCTTAATTCACACCCGCCAGTTGATACCGAAAGAAATGAATTCTGGATGATCTCTGGTAATGCGATCCTCAGGCGGCGGGGCAGAACAGTAGTCATCATCAATTACAGCCCGCGAAAGTCCAACGATGGAACTGCAGATTCTCCCTCATCAGTAGATAACAGTAGATAAACAACAACAGTTGAGCGTCAGCTGGGTCCTGTAGGACGTACACCGATCGCCGAGTATGGTCATAGAAGATTTGCTCTGTTTCCGGCATGTACCATCCTCAACCTCGGAGTCGCATGTGCCTATTTATTCCCAAAAGCAAGATCCTCAGCCACACAGCAATATAAAAGCCGTCAAGCTTTGACTACGAGAAAACTTACTCCAAGGCCCTGATCATTTCTCTTGAATGATCACCTTGTCGGAGTAACTCAGATCGGAGGGATCAGAAAGACTTGTGCCGTCCGCCAGCTCCATGGCAATCGCCCAGACATGCCCATGCCGGAAAAATGGATTCTGATCAGAAGACAGTTCCTGGCTGCCGTAAAATACCGGGGTGTACCCGGACTGCGAGAACATGCCGAGCGCCCGGCACTCGTCGTTGTAAGAACGTTTGGCCAAAACCTCGGTGGCAGCCAATTCGGTCTCGCTGATTCCGCGGGTTTTTCTCCTGGATTTGAAAATCTCAGCCATCGGCCTCTCATAGAAAGGTCCACGAGGACGAAGTGGAAAGCACCTTACCCGTAGCGCACCTTAAGGGCGTATCTGCGCGTGCTCTTGTGGATCGTATTGTCATTAAAGCATGTGGTTTCATAGACCACCCATTCCTCGTGAAGTTCGTCTTTCCCGTTTTCAGAAAATATCTCGTGGATGAGATAGTCCCGACTGCCAATTTTGATGAGTACCGATCAGGTGTTTCATCTCGGAGAGCGAAGGCGAGGAAGCGAGTTCGGAAGACGTGAAGTATACCGAGGACGCTAAAAATCGTAGGAGAAAGTGGATGTAAGAGGGTGCGATAACAAGAACTACGTCTAACCTTATGGGGATATGATGAAACGTGACGTCAAAATCGGAAATGCATTCGGAGTCAAGGTGCTCAATAGGTAAGAGAGACTGATGACGAATTTATATGATACACAGAATGCTGGAGCTAAAACTGTAAGAATAAGTCGGGTCAACTTGTCAAATACAATCAAGGGAGTTATCAAGGAGTGCGCAATGTTACCATGGATATTTTTGACTTAGTAAGTGGCTTTCTTCCAGGCTCTCATTTCTCCATTCAAGTCCAATCTTTCTGAACCATAACGCAATATTGAGTGACCCTTATATATTCTTTGGTGGATACACTAAGCACATACGACCACAGGGTGTGGAACACAGGGCTTCCCGTCCGCTCAGCCGTACTTAAGCCACACGCCGGGAGGTTAGTAGTTGGGTGGGTGACCACCAGCGAATCCCTTCTGTTGTATGTTTTTGCTTTTTTGTATGCCTGCTATAAAAAAGTCTAGCGCATGCAGCAGTTCTCACCCAGTGTATGTTAATTGTGGCCAGTCTTCTTCTTTATCGATGATATAAGAGGACGGCCGCGCTGGACCACTTTACCACCATGCGCAGTGCTCCGTCCTGGCGACAATGAGATCACTTATCAGGAGCGACCCACCTTGTTCGGCTAAAATGGCGAATAAATCCAATCTTCTACAGTAGAAACGCCCAGTCTGAGCACGAATTGCATTTTTCTGCTAGGGAGGATAAATAGGTCGTGAGCAACTTCCATTTTGCCAGTTACTTAACTTCTCTGTCTTCTGATCTGGAGATGTGTCTCACTTTGTGACTGCCCTAGCTCGCGGCGTCTATCTATATCAGCCCGCAAAGGGAAGCCGATCTGCGCCACGGTGGAGGTTCTTCGGCTTTTATGCCATTGACAGCCAAAGCAGGGTCCAGAGCCGACCGTAGCATGTTAGCGACCGGGGCAAAATGGACAGAAGACCAGAAGATGCAAGGGTAGCGACAAAGTCACGTAGCACTTGTCCAAATCATAGCCATGGGTGTATGCGGTGTTGCGAACGTCACGTCACGTGGGTCTCTTCAATAACCAAGGGGGAAATCGTAGCGAGCCCTCCGAAGGGGGTGCGCATGCTTCGGACCCACTTTGAATAGTCAAAGGGCAACATTTTCAGTTTCAGTATTTCCAGGATGATGCCCTAAATTGTATGCGGAGTATGTGGATTATAGTGATGGCGCTACTTCTAACCTCCAGATCCAGTCAAATTTGGAGCCACGAAATTGATAAGCATGCTGAATCATCTAGGGACGACACAAATCTGATGAACAATAAGCTCGTTTTTCACTCCGATTTTTTTATCTTTACAGCAGGGATATAAGAACTAAATAAAAAATCAGTCGAATTATGTCGGGTGTGTTGTAGGATGTATAGTCGATAATCACCACCTTCCACCACGTCCTATGTTATCATATCTAGTACTCTAGCGACCCTGAAGAAGATTACCCCAGGTCGATCTCGCCTTCGCACTGGGCAGCATTCATGAAGTTCGCTTTCAACGGTGTCACACTATAAGCAATTAGTCTACGTGCTTGGACGTGAAGAAAGCGAGACACAAAGATGCAGCTCTCAATGAATGAGAATCGAATACGTGACACGTATCTGGTCTTTCCTTAACGTACTGCCCAGCCATCATCTGTATCCGAGGTGCGGTCCATACTACCGTGGCTATCTGATAGGTCTGGCGCCCATCGCAGTAGCAGCGGTGAGTCCGCGCTCCGTCTAGTTGTATCTCCCGACAGCGAAAGGACTTGAAACGGACTGGCTGCCAGCCAACGGTTCGGTCGGATCCGAGTATAAACGACCTTCCTGTCTCCGCTGGGAACAGATCGCAGCGGTATGTTCACGGAGTAGAATTCTACGCCGTCGTCACAGCTGTGGTACAAATGCTCAATCAGACGTACGGCATGCCTAGATGCATCTGCAATCTGCCCTCGATTGTAAATATTGTCTTTGGTAGCTGGCTCAAAGGAGAGAGCAATAGACCTCTTTCCACACAGGACGGCCACCATGGCCCCGCCGATTGTGCCACTGGAGAGGAGGAACAGAGCTGCTGCGTTCGCTCCGAGGTTGGGGCCCGATACCACCAGGTCGATCGGGATAGGCTTGCCCTCCTGCTGATAAGGGCGATAGTGATGCAGCCTGATCTGCAAACAACCAGCGGGGGTCGAATTCCAATGCTGCTACTGTTGTTGGTGTCATTGGCTAGTCCCGGAGGGTTTTGGTGCTCGGTGCCTTCGAACTGTTCCAGTTCGAAGGGGGAGAAATACGTCGCCTTGACCACCTCCCCGACGAAATGGGCTTTCCCGATCCAGCAACATTGCTGGTTTGGCAACCCACAGTGACGATGCATCCTTGGGATGGAGTTCGCGAACCAGGGAATGCACATCCGGGGATGTATCCCGCGAAGGGGGCCCGTCGTCGTTGACAACCTGAAAAGATTAGCCACTCAAACTGATTCCCCCTGCTCGCAGGTAAATTGTGCGTACTAGAATATGCATCGGGTGGAGATTTGTGTGGTTCAGAGCAAGCTGTGAATATGAGTGTGCACCAAGGAGTGGCGCAAAGGAGTCTGCTGACTAGGACCAATAGATAAGCAGCAAGGAGCAAGAAAAGATAGCTCTGAAATGCGGAAAATCCACCAACATCTTCCATACCGTACGGAGGATCTTGTAGTGCCTTCTGCACCGGCCACTGCTTGTCTGCTGTGGGGTAGGTATCACGTCATATAATCCTGGGGGGGGGGGGAAATGTTCCCGAGCATCGGGGAGGCCCCGAGGGAATTCTTTCCGAGACCGGACAGATTAAAGAGAAAACCCCGAGTTGTGTAGAGAAGCGAGAGCTGGAGGTTATACCACTCGACCACGACGAAGACTTCCTCGCAGTAATCTTACTTCGTATATGGCAAACCTTCTCCAGTCCTCCTCATTTTAGTTACTGTCGAATTTCCAGATCATCGTATGGCTGTCTGCTGGGCAATGACCACATGCGTCATACATAGGTTCTATGATGGTTATTTAAGGGTTGTACGATCGCCCACGCCCACCAGTTGTTATCTTAGTCAACTCGTGTCACATTTCTTGAAAGGAATAGCACTCTGAAGCAAACGAACATGTTCAGGACAAAACTAGTCCAGTCTGTGCTGAGGTAAGGAAATACTCTTTAACTCAAAATTCAACACCGCTGTTGACAAAGTAAAATCTTCTGTCGCCAGAGTGGATCAGTCCTGCATATTCATCTCAGGCAGCTCAGCAGCGCCAGGAGGCATATCTTCCGTGAGTGGAACGTTATGCTTGTATGTTCTTAAAGATATATCGGTGAAAGCCATCAGCGCCAGACTAGTCGGGAGCCTAAGAATGTGAGTGGGTATCAGGTGAACATGACCTCGTTTCACAATATCATCTGACTTACCTCAGACCGCGCGATGAGCATTCTGCAAAGTCTTACCAGGGAGGCATTACCTTCGAGCGCAGTCAAACATTGGCCAAGTCAAGAGACAACTCATTCCTCATGCCGCGAGGGATGTATGTGTTGCCATTCGAGTTACCGCTGAGCCGGGAAATGCCGGAGACCGTCACTGGTGTCGGTCACAAGTATCATTTATACGAGGTTCAGGGCATTATAGTACATCGAAACTCTCACCTAGACGTCGTTAGTGCGCATCCCATTCGGCTTCATTACCTTCCTCACATCCTACAAAGCGATATGCTCGATCAAGTCGTCCCTGTGAGTGTCCTATCAAGTTGTTCACAGTACTAGCGCTCATACTGACGCAATTAGCCATAGAAGTCAGTAGACGGGCTGATAGATGAGAGCATGTGGTACCGGATATCGATTTTCAGCACCGAAGTCCCTTTCGGAGCGACCTTTCCAGTCCGAGTTGAGTTTCATGCACTGCAAAAGGATTTCTCCCCGGGCAAAATAACCCTCCAAGTCTTGGAGACACACCTACTAAAGGTTACCCCAACGGCTTCCGACTCCATCACATACAACAGCGTCCTGTCCACTATCACACGAAAAGAGCATGCGGTCGTGCGCGAAACGTATGAGAATCTTAAATATACCACCGCGCAGTCATCCGATCTTCTGGACTGCGAATGGGCAGCCACAGCACTCGTTCATCTGCCGCAGAATTTCCAGGCCTGCACACAGGACCTGCAGACGGAAGTAATTCAGGTGCATCATAAGCTGCAGTTTGAAGTCGAGTTCGAGGCTGAGCGTGCTCAGAGAAAAAAGGTATGAGCCGTGATCCAGCTCCGTCCGTCTATCTTTGGTCTATGCTTGCAGTGTCGACGAATTGTATACTGACCCTGGAACTTGGCAACGCTACTAAGATCGTCGGCGCCATCCCTTTCCGAGTCTACATGTCTCCCTATACAGTGATGGAGCATGATCTCGTTTACCGACAGAACCTCCAAGAGCTTGAGATTGGTTTTGAGGAGCCGCCACCCTCTTACCTAGAGTACAACTCAAACACAGCGATCAGTGCTAGATCTCCATACCAAAATGCTCAACGCTCTGACAGAGCTTGTTGATCTCTCGACCCTCACGGATGTAAATACGGCATCGCGACTGAGCGTCAATCAGTGCCTGGTCGGCAGTGATAGCCGTGGATAAATAAGGAAGGCTACACCGAAGTTCAGACGCTCTGATCTGACTACACATTGTGCGGTGAAGCTCGGAAGATGCTGATACTACAGATTCAGGCGTAAAGCCAATCACTATGCATAATGGTCAGTGTTGCCAGTATAGGCACGCATGGATGTTCATCCCTTCGCCTGCATACCATGGAAGAGATGACAGCTTCCGTGTTTCTATAGGTTCTTTATGGGCTGGCCGTTGTTATTGAGGACAAAACTCAGTGACGCAAAGAATAGCGTGTTTCGACACAATTGACTGTTGTCTTATTAGGCTCATTGCCATCTTTTCAAGCCACGTCTGCAACGCTATGACCACGAATGACTATATACAGCCTATTCCCCATTCTATCATTCAACCCACAAACACCCTAGCTTAGAACAGCTTCTTCACCGACCGCAAATACACCAAAAGATAAACAACGGAGTAATTGAAAACCACATAAGCCAGAAAAATGCCAAAGTACGGCCAGATATCCGACGAGTCTAGCCCGAGGCTGGCGAGATACTGTTGTTGCCTTGACGTTAGTACAACTACTCACAGGTTCGTTGCGGTTGGAATCTCACCTCATCGCCAGAATTATAATCGCAGTACCCGCAGACCCCCGACTCCTCCGGATTCGACAAATAGCCGACGCCCTTCTCAGCCAGCCAAGGGCCCGCATACTCGCCGCAGGTCATGTTCGCCGGACTGCGGAAGTAGCTCAGTTCATCTTTCTCACAGACGACCGGCATTCCGCGCAGAACGGAGGTTAGAACGCCTCCGATCCAATAGGTAAACGGGGTGAGGTAGTACATGGTGTACTTCCAGAAGACCGGCATCTTGTCGTGCGGCTGGATGATGCCGTTGAAGAGCTCGCACATGGTGATGAAGAAGGGCATCAGGGTGGCTGCGATGGTTGCGTCGGCGCTACATTCGCTGTTAGTCAAGTCTTTTGAGCGGCATGGCGGACGGCGAACTCACCTCAGCGCGGCAATCCACTGTCCCCACGAAGTGGCAAACAGGAAGAACAGGAAGAACATCAAAAAACTGTATCCCGCGGCAAAGCCGTCCGGCAGTCCGGCGGTGAAGTAGCAGATCAGATAGAACATCACGCCCGAGCCGATGGCCAGCGGCATCTCGCAGAGGATCTGCGCCGTGCTGAACGCCACCCAGCCGTACATGCCCGCGGGTCCCTCGCGGGCGAGCCAGATGTCGCGGTTCATGACGAAGCGCATTGAAATAGCGTTGATGAATTCAGGAACGAGCATCAGGCACAAAAAGCAGAGGAATGCTTTGGACTCCAGGTCGGTGGAGCTGTTGCCCAGCTGGTAGAAGGTTAGGCCGTCGAGGAGGGCGTGCGCGAAGGAGGCGTAGAGGCGCGAATATGGGTACTCGGGGCTGCGCCAGTACTGTCGGAGGGTTCGACTGGTCAGAAGCTTGACTTGGCGGTAGAATGACGGGGAGGTGGGCTTGTCGATGGTGGGTGAAACCGCTGCAACTGTGCCTTGCCCTCGGATGGTCTGGATCTCAGCCTTGACTGCCGCCGCTTCGGTGGAATGATTCCACACGTAGACCCAATCGACGCTCTTTTCGGCTTCCTTCATACCACCGACGACAATCTCGATGAGATAGTCTGCTGCATTGGTCACGTTCTCAGGCCGGTAGCCGTGCCGGCCGAAGTATTCGAAGATTGCACGGCCTGAGTCTCCTACTTCGCCGAAATAGTAGGTATTACCACCGGGACTTAGGGCTAAGACGCGGTCAAACTGGTCTCGTTAGTACCTTTTCATCTAGTCAGTTCACCTAGAGTAACTATACCTCTTCAAACTGTTCCTGATTCGCTTGATGGATAGTGCAAAGCACAGCCAAGCCTTGATCGGCCAGCTTCCTGAGCAGGGCCACAATACTTGAAGCACCCTGACTGTCAAGACCACTGGTCGGTTCGTCCAGGAACAACACCAATTCGGGTTTGGCGCAAAGCTCCACGCCAATGGTGACACGCTTCTTCTTCTCAATGTCCAGACAACCTATCACAGCATCCTGCAAATCGATCAAGTCCAGCGTGGCCAGAACAACGTTGACATAGGCCAGTTTCTCTGCATCGGGGGTATGCTGATTCTGTCTCAGCAGGGCGGAGAACTCGAATGCTTCGCGGATGGTACTCGTTTCGTCGTGGATGTCCATTTGCTGGCAATACCCGATGCGACGGTTGTAGGATCCGTCGGTCGGATGCCCATCGACAAACATCGTGCCGCTCAGATTTCCTGAGCTCTGGCGTTGGGTGAGGGCCGTCAACAGTGTGGACTTTCCTGCGCCAGATGCGCCGACCAAGGCCGTGAGGCTGCCTGGTTTGCAGTACCCAGACACCTTATTCAGCAGCCTCCTCGACTCCCTGCCTATCTCCACATGGAGCTCAAGGTTGTCCCATGTGAATGTCGACTTGCATGCCAGAACAGCTTGCTGTAGAGCTTGGTCTTGATGAGGAGATTGGCGAGCAGCGGGCATGCCCTGGGAGTCTCCTTGCACACCACCAACTTCCTCATCCTGAGTTGTCTGACCTTTCCTCGATTTCTTCTGGGATCCCTTGTATTGAATTGGTCCTGCACTAGAGGATTCCCATTCCACGACCTCACTGACCCAACACGTTGCAGCGATGTAGAACACGGTGAAAAGGCACAGGATGCCGAAGTTACGCCACACGTGGTGGTAGTAGAAGCCGAAGTGAGAGGCCATATAATCGTCCCCGGTGATGATCGTGGTCCCGATCCGGCTTCCGTAGTACGCGCATGTCTGGTAGGTGACATCGGTGTAGTTGGGTCCAAAGGGGACAATTGATCCGGGAGAACAGGTGAAGTCTGTGTTATGGAACTCGGCCGCCATCATCGATTCGAAGGTGTAGATGACCGGCGTTGTGTACTGTGGGACATGTGAGTACATCTCAAGCAGCCAGTGCAGGGCTACGTACCGCTATCCACCCTACCCAGGGAACGCTATTGATAAGTCTGTCCAGCGAAATGACATAACCTCCAAGAACAATACATGCCAGGACGGAAAGACCAGCATAGCGCAGCGCAACCTCAAATGTCTTCGAAAACGCAGCGAACAGTCTGAACTGCTGTGTCAAGCAGATCGCGCAGAGGAAGATGAAAAGAAAGTCTATGAAGAATGACCCGGCCTAGTAGAGTCAGTATCGGTTACAGATGGTGGAAAACGGTCATGCTTACGTTGGTCTTCAAGCCCGAAAGAAAGTAAACCACGACCTGAAATAATGCACTGATGGTGACAAGAAGCACGACATCGGAGAGCAACCGCGCCAGACACACTGCGCTAGGCCGGACAAACGCAAATTTCTTCTGACGGCTGAGAATGTCTCGCCCCTGCATCGCGTCCTCCAACTCCGACATCTGCAACCATGCGAGCATCAACGAGGAGTAAAAGATGACACCGCCGCGCGAGTACAGTCCATCGCTCGTTTGGGGCATATCATAGAATAGACTGCCGATGAGCAGCCCATAAACGACAGCCGACATCAGCTTGATGTAGATAGGCCCCATGTGGTTCCTGGTCTGCCACAACTGCCGTCGGGCACAGAGCACAATCTGCCGGAAGAGAGAAACAGTGTAGGGTGACTTTGGCGACACGAAGCGCGATTTCTCGGTCTGCACGGCCTTCTTGAACTCTTCCAGACTTCCTGTATCTGAATCATCCGACGGAACCTGTCCGCCTAGGCGCTGATCCTCGTAGTTCCGAATATCTCTCTTCACGGCCTGGTAAGCGTTGCTCGCCCGAAACGCCGTCTCTAATTCCTCCGCTCCCTTTGGTGCACGGCTCTCCCAGCCCGGTTGAAATCGTCGTCGTTCGGGAATGGACACACTTGTTAGAAAGTCGCAGGTGGTCTGCATCGGGGCGCATTCGTAGCCAAGATCCTCGAAATAACGCTTTGCGTCGCGCGCAGGTCCTTGGTAGAGCATGCGGCCCTCGTCAATCAGCAGGACCTTATCCACCAGATCGTAAATAGCATCAGAGGCCTGATACAGCGTCATCAATGTGGCCTTGCCGCACGTGTCCGTCATGATGCGGAGACTACGCGCGTAGTCCAGCGCAGACGATGCGTCTAGCCCTCTCGTCGAGTTGTCCCAGCAGCTGATCGCGGAATCCGTGGCCAGGGACTCTATGATCGAGATGCGTTTGCGCTCGCCGCCGGACACACCGCGAATAAATTCATTTCCGACCAGGGTGTCCATGGTGTGCGACATGGCAAAAACACGTCCGTAGATCTCCAGGTAGCGAGGGATTCGGTCCTGACATCGCTTGGGGGTCTTGCACTGCAGCGCGAACTCCAGCGTCTGGCGGACGTTGAGAGTGGGGAAGTGCACATCGTCCTCTGGGCTGTAGGCGACTTGACCGCGGTAATGAGTCTGAACCTCCTCCAGACTCAGTCCGGAGTAGTCGATGGAGCCTGTAACCCCGAGGTAGGAGGAGTGATCACCGGCGATAGTGCGTAGGAACGTCGAGCATCCTGCTCCGGGTCTCCCCAGCACACTGGATATCAATTCGGTCAGCTCATTGGTCTGTGTTCCACCTGTTTAGACCCGAAAAACATGACTCACAGCATCATCTCACTACTCCGCACCACGCCTGAGAAATCCCGAATCAACTGCCGTCCACTCTCCGGCTTCTTCTTCGACGCCCACGGCTTGATGGTCCATTCATAGACATCCTGTAGGGTCAACGTCCGCCACAGCGCCGTCCCGAGAGTCTTGACCTTGACATGATCTTCCCCGTCTCCCCAGGTCGAAAGCGACTGGAAACAAACCCCAAGGTTAGATCTCATCTTCCCAGCGCGCACCTCCTCGTCCAGAAACTTATCGAACGAGGAATGCGGCTCCGCGTATTCCGGACGCGCATCCCTGCGGCTCTGCGCGGTCAAGGTGCGATGGATCTCCGCCAACTCCCCCTCATCCTCCTCTGACAGAAACACATGCGACAAGGGAGCTCCATCATCATGAGCCCTCGCTCCCTCCGATGAAGCGGTGGCAGAGGACTGCAAGTGTGGTACGGGATGTGGAGGCATTATACTTAACCCAAGGCCATTGAGAAGCAACAACTAGAATCCGGGTCTGACTCCAACACAACCACCGCAAGATGTTAAACACTATTTAAGGACAAATTGACGGAGTGCAGCCCGGGACCCGCGGGGTAGTGGATGATTTACATATTCTCGGTCCCCGGAACCCCAAAACGGAAGCCAAGACACATTCGGTTTAGGCGTTTTGCCGCGGCGATAGAATCATAATCTTATTAAGTAATAAATTATGATTTGCAGCCCTAGCCGCAGCACAAACCTATTCTCCGACTGGCCCAGAGAAGCCCGCGGAATGACCTGGGGATTGGTACCTACCAGCCATACTTGCAGTCTGAGTTTTCTGCCCGTTTAGAGTCGTGATTGGTCTACAGGCGCTAAGCGGGGGCGCCTTAGCGAGGTTGGCGCCCATCGAAGATGAGGTCAGCAAATTGCGGCGCTATTTTTACTAGATTAGGAAGCTCGGGGGAGAAAAAGCTTTTTGTGCCGGAGACCCACCGGCCCATGCCTGGCAGAAGACGAAGTCAATCACGAGAATGTGCTGCATGGTCTTGCATGCATATCATATTGCCGGTATTTGCCATCTTCGTGTTTAGTCGAGGACTTGACGTGTGTGCTCATTACCCAGGGCATTGATTGATCACGAGATCAACAGACTCTGATTTCCGCCTTGCCGCACGACGTCAGTCGATACATTGCTCCTTATCGTTTGCAATCACAGCCAGTTTTGATAATTGCCAGTGCTTTTGAGGATACACGAATCTTTCAAATAAGAGCGTTTCGTAGGGGAGGGAAAACAGATGGGCATGGTGGAAAATCGATCGCCATGTCATCACGTGATCGAGATGCGAATGTCTACGGTACATCGCTCAAAGATGACTGTGTCCTGTATATAGCAATTGAGCTCATTGCTCAAGGACCCTTTTAATCCCCGAATTCTTGCGATGAGCTGCGAAAGATCTCCTTCACAACCAAAATTGCCGTAGTTGATGTGATCAATCACGCACCTTCTAGTTACGAAGGCTAATTCCTCGACGGATCAGTCTCCCAAGATTGAGAGAGCAGGTCGAGAAGAGCGCTATGGAAGAGTGAAGATTGGCTAAGTTCGTAAAGGTACTAGACTACACCCCCAGGTGTGCTTTTCGTAGCTCGCCACGAGTTTTACGTGTAATGACGTCATTTCCCAGCCTGGCTGCGCTACAGGAAGCCGCCAAAGATAGAGCAAAGCACTACATCGATTCGAAGATCGATGGGTATGATGCAGTCATAAATGCACAAGAATCAAGTGAGTCTAGCTAGTGTGGACTACCTATGAAAAGAGTAACCTTTCACCATAAGCCACAAGGGCGGAACCGCCAGCAAGGATATAAAAGTCTCTGCGAAACCCAGCCAGCGAGCCCCAGCTCTATTCGAGTAATCGAACCTCTAAGCTACCATCCATCGCCAAGACACCAAGTCACTCAGCTAGATGCAAGTCCTTTGCCAAGTCCGCCTGCATCAACTCCTGGTTGAACTCCTCCGACGCAGGCAACTCCAGATGCACATGCGTGTTGACTGCGGCCTTCAACTCGACATTCTCAGCCTCAAACTCCAAGACATGACCACCAGCCTGGCGGTCTGAAGACAGAAAATGCAGATGAAAGCCGGCGACGCAGATCCCGTTCGTGTACGGCGGGGAATAGAACCCGAACAGCGTGCCGGCGACATTGTCGTACGTCTTGACGACCTGGCGCTTAGACAGTTCTAGCAACGGCTCCCGTGGGCGGATCTGCGGGCCACCGATGCGGTACACGATCTTCTTGAACGTGGCGTCCACGCGGACGGCGATAAAGTTATTCTGATTGGCGGGGAAGAATGGATGCAGGGCTTCGTGTAGGGTGTCCATGCGCAACGTGTTCAGGGGTTTGGTCAGCGTGGGCTGAAAGTCCGTGGCGACGATCATTGGTAGATGGTCTGTAGGCGCCAGCCGGTGTAGTTTATTGTCTGGGGTAAAGTGATAGGCCTCGCCGTCTACTATGACGATCTCGCCATTCAGGCCGCAGACGGTGCCAAGGCCGTGGTTGCATCTGGAGAGGACATTGGAGACTGTCGCTCCGTCGGAGGAGAAGCCCTGCATCAGGGCGCTGAAGACGCCATATTGATAGATGTGATTCATTTTGGGACGAGATTGGGATTGTATCTCATGTGGTAATGAATGTGTCGGATTCTGGTGACAGGATGATGATGATGCTCGCGCGGGGTTGTCTATATGACTGGGCACTAATCCGTTTAAGGAAACCGATACCGGTGGCATTATGCTCAAATGCGGCTCTTGAAGCCGAGGAGGCTGGCTTCTTCTCCGTGCTCATAATTCCTTGGTGTAATAGATATATACTCCATATTTTGGCCAAGTCATTTCTGGCTATGCTAGGAGACAAATTGCGCAGTTTCACACACTAAGACTCATATCAGCTGCTGTGTCTGCCGCATCGTTTACCATGCCAGCAAACCGTATGACCACCGCACGGGCCACAACTTAGCATTGCGGTCAACCTGCAATCGGTCTGCGGTCTCTGTTCTATTGCACATCTGAGGGCCAGGGCTTCGAAGGTCATGTGCAGAACCCCTCCCCCCCCTGGGCTGGAGGATCCGGATTATTCTGTCACCTTCCATAACTGAATCTCAAATGAATGTTCTGATCTTAAGCATTAAAAAAAGTCCCCATGTCTTGAAGATATACGGTAAGTTTAGTATCAAATGCAGGGCTCAAGTGTGCCACGTGGTGTAACATGGAACCAACCCAATTAGCTGGATCAACAGGGCTAGCACATAAACATTCCGTAGAGTCTACCAGTGTCGTTGAGACCACTTCCTAGTTCGAACAAAATACCTCGCATCATTCGGCATGAACCTATTGTAGAGAATACCGGACGAACTCAGGTCTTCTTGGAGATGATGCTTGTAAAGTGTCTATGTAGTGTAGGATGGAAAGGATTGGAGGGGGCGGGTGGGGGAGAATACTGAGTACTTCCCAAGTTCCCATGCATCTTTAGCGCATGAAGACGGGCAGCGATGCTGCTCCCAGCCTCCCAGCCTCCCACAGGATATCAGTCGTAGGGCTGGCTCACCTGGTCCACTGCAGTCCGGCTGTACGTCCCATGGCACGTGCTCTGCAACACTTCAAGGTTCAAACGATTTGTCTCAAGCCTATTTTAGGATAGAGTTTGATGCAGAAGGGTTGTCGTCATTTAGTTCTAGATGTTCTATCAGTGTTGCTCTTGCTCCTGCGTATCCGCCAGGTGGCTAAAGATCCTTCAATGAATGAGCGGTGAGTCACCTCGTTTCATCTAATCACCGTAACCCGTGGTTGCATCTGGTCGGAAAATTCGCGTTGAAGATATTGCAGGCAGAGTTTGCATGTCCAGCTTCGTTGAGGTTGCCGCATCAGGGTCCAATGGTTTCATGCCCTATGGCTAGAGTACGGGAAGTCCCGGACTGGCCCAGTAGGTAGAAAGATGAGTAAAAAAAAAAGAAACCCGAGCCATCTCCGAGTCTCCGAGATATTCCCGCTCGCCGAATGAAAACCGAAGCGCTTACTTGCCATCTATGAAATATCTGACGATGCCCATGGGTTGGATATATAAGCGTAGTTCAGTCTTGTCTTTCTTTCCCGTAGAATAAGCAGTTCAGTCTCTTTCTGTCAATTTTTCTCTTTGTCGTGCAAATTGCTTTGCTCAAAATGAGTGCGAGATCGTCTTTAGAGGTCAAACTCCTGGAGAAACCACGACATGTCTCCACAAGAACAAGAAGCAACCTCAAGTCTCGCTTACGAGAACAATGGGAGCTATGGAAGGTCGGGCTAGCTGCGAAGGAGCACTGGGACGACGAATATAATTTTCCGCCGGGTCGATATTATGGCCAGAGCCACCCATAGATGTGAGTGAATATTTGCCATTTTGTTAGCCTAGGTCTCTAACATGTGTTGCTTTCAGTCATACCTGTCGTTGGACCTCATACAAACTACCACAACTCAGCCCAATCAAGGCAAACCAAACGATTCCACGAACGCATGTCCCAGAAGAGGCACACAAACTTCCCAACACGGCACCAAGGGATCCTATGATATCGACGACATCTTCTTTCACATTTCAAAGCCATCAGTCAAATTTCCGGTCATTTAATGTTTGATGTTGCAACATATCCAAGCATCAGTACGGAGTTCGCTTGGGATTTATCTCCACAATTGCGCTATACGAACATGTAATGTTTGATTCACATACCCGAGAATCAGGACCTGTCCATTATATTTAGTTTAATAGATCTTTACTGCCTTCATTATCATCCCAATGAGAAGTTTACTCCGCTCCAGCTTCGACAATGTCTATCCTTACCTTTTATCAGAAGTCTTGGAACTTAAAAGATTATCTTTTTGTCGCCCGGCTGTCATGAACATGTATCGATCCAGAGTTTTGAGCCGAGTTCCCGCATGAGCGACGAATCTTGCCTAGTCGAGACGACATAAAGCGACACGCACGCAGGAAAAGAAGCGTTGGGCATCACGCTGTCTTGGCCTGCCATACTTAAGCGACATGTCAAATCCACGAAGTGAACACAAGAAGGTCTATTTGAGCATAGAGGTGCTTGTAGAATTACTAATCGAGCACAACCGTTGGACCCGTGACCGTGGACCGTGGACCGTAGGTCCCTCCCGACAACTTCCCGAACCGGTTAGACTGTCTTCTCCGTTGACCTTCCTTTTTCGGCATGGCCACATCCACTGGCACTGATGGCATTGACTGGGCCCTGCACGCCTACCACATTTCTATACTCATGTAGTCATTTTATAAGAGAGGGAACCCTCCTCGTCGGAAACACGCAATGAATGTGAGTCCTTGCTTCGCGCAGCTAGGAGACATGTCTGACTACTCCACAGAGCAAGACAAACCGCCAGGTGAGGGCTCCGGGGTGATGTCTTCCTCTCCTGCCCAACTCTCGCCCGATATGCACCGTCCACAGCCATCATCATCGCCACTGGATGCAGCTACGATAGAGAGGTTAGGGCGAGAACGACCCCCCACCTTCTCGAGTATCTGGTCTGAGTTGGCCTTCTGCTTTTCTATCATTATGTGTCAAGTTCTGGCAGTACGACCGTACCCCGATGTCCGTCGCATAGCTTTTGAGATGTCTAACATGTATTCAACATAGGAATACTACATTTCCGGCTCCAATGTCCTTCTTCCGACGCTCCTTGACGAGCTGGATATCCCCTCGGCACTGTCAATCTGGCCGTCCACCGCTCTCTCCCTCGCGGTGACGTCTACCCTCCTCATCTATGGCCGCCTCGCGGACATGTACGGCGGGTTCATTATGTACTTTGGGGGAATGGTGTGGCTGACTGTCACCTCCCTCATTGCCGGATTCTCTCAAAACTGGATGATGTTGTTTGTGTTTCGTGGTCTGCAGGGGCTGGGCTTAGCTTCCTTCCTTCCCTCCAGCATCATGATTCTCGGAAAGGTCTATCGCCCTGGGCCGCGCAAGAACCTTGTCTTCAGTGTTTATGGCGCCTGCGCAGCGCTGGGGTTCTTTGCTGGAATTTTCTTCTCGGGCCTCGCAGGCAGCTTCCTCACCTGGCGCTGGTACTTCTATATCGGCTCAATACTGTCTGCCATTACGGCTCTTTCGTCATACTTCTCGATTCCGAATGATTATTCCGCTACGAGAGCGTCGTCAAAGGCTTCAATGGACTGGATAGGGGGTATATTGCTTGTTCCCGGGGTCGTACTATTTGTCTTTGCGATTGCGGATAGCGCGCACGCGCCGCAGCAGTGGCGAACACCGTACATCCTTGTCTGTCTCATCCTAGGCGCTGTCATCTTAGGTGCCTTCGTCTACGTGGAGGGCTGGGTGGCCGATAAGCCTTTGCTGCCCGGAGATTTGTTTTCTGTCAGGTACATGAAGCCGATCGTGATCTGTCTGCTGCTCATGTACGGCAGCCTGGGAATTTTCCTTCTCTATGCCGCGCTCTAGTATGCCCTCACCCCACCCAGCCCCAACTTCCATCTCTCTATCTCTTCTTCACGCATCTACTAACGCTCCGCATCAACAGCATGGAAGGTATAATGGGCGCAACCCCACTCCAAGTCGTCGCCTGGACGACCCCGATGGCCGTGGGCGGCCTGATAATATCGATAGTCGGGGGCCACATCCTGCATAGTTTGAGCGGAACCCTTCTCATTATTCTTTCAGCCCTGGGCTACTTAGGCTCAGGCCTTCTCTTTGCGGTGTTCCCCAGGGGAGGCAACTACTGGGCCTTCGTGTTTCCGGCCATGATCTGCGGGACGATCGGCATTGACATCAGCTTCAACGTGACCAATATCTTCATCACAACAAATATGCCCGGGGAGCGCCAGGGGCTGGCGGGGGCGTTGATCAACTGCACCCTGCACATGGGCATTGCCGTCATGTTGGCCTTCGCGGACCTCATCCAAGTCTACACGGAGGAGTACCTGGACACAAAAGAGAGCTACCAGGCTATCTTTTGGTTCCAGGTTGGGCTGTCAGGGCTAGCATTGATCTTGATCGCGCTGTTCGTCAGGATTGAGCGCGCCAAGAGTGACCTGACGGTTGATGAGAAGCGGAGGTTGCAGATGGAGCAGGAGGGCATTTTAGAGGATCCTTGATCCCGTTGATGGATGTAACATGCAGATGATGATGGAATTTTGGGAAGCGTGTCAGCATGGTATAAGGGCCGAACTTTGCATTTCTTACATCTGTCGTCCCTGTTTATAATGATTCGGTAAAGCGTTTCGACAACAAAACTTCTGACAGGGCGGTGAGGAGCAAAGGATTTACCGGGATATAGATAATGACAGAGCCTAGATCACACAAGAAATGCAGAGTAACGAACGGTAGTCTGACCAAGGCCAGCTGAGATTATATCTTAATGAACGCAATTTGGTCGCATACGGGGATGCATCGCGGCAGCTTTGTCCTTCCATTCTAGCCCCAATTGGACGGATTATGTCCTATTTCCTCCGACGAATTCAGCCAAGCCCCAACTTCACAAAGGTCTCTTTGTATGCAAAGAACGATAGGCGGCAGATCCCTTTGCAATATTCATTCCTTAATGTAATTGTCATTTGAAGAAATGCACCATCGCTGTTGGATAGTCGCAGATCTACTCTATTACAGTGTAGGGCGAGGTTGAGAGTAGAAATGAGAGAATCGCGAGATAAAAGCTTTTTTGCAAGCAGCGGTACGTAATCTTCTGACTGAGTAGGTACAACATATGAACTCAATATGAGCGAGCACATCCGATGCCAGGGCTACTAGAGCTATTAGTTAAGTTACACATTGCTCATGTGATGGGTATCATGCTACTTGTTGTCTTCGACTAAGATTAACCTGATTCTCACCCTGTTTAGAATATGACGTCAATCTTATTTAGCAGTTGAGTCACTTATACTCGATACAGAAGTCTTCCCATAGAATGCTATTCCGATTGTTGAATCAAGTAGAGACGGAGACGGAGGACAAGTGGGAGCGAAACGGGTGGAGTCCAGAAGATGTTCTGATAGTCAGAAGGGTCATGATTAACAACATGACCTGTGCCATGACCAATATTGTCCTGGTCGCATCAGTGGTTGAGTGCCTTGTCTCACATCGGGAAAAATGAATATGACTGTTGTTAGACCAATACTCAGGGTAGGAACTCTGCTTCGTCAATATCCAACTGCGCTTTGATAACATCTCATCAAAACCTGTAAAACAAAGAGTGTATTCTGCGTACAAGAGTAATTTGCAGTATGATGATTGATATTCGCCTTTCAAGGCTACTGTCACTACTGTCATTGGACCATTTCTGCTATAAGGAGTATCCAGGGCCGGCTGAGCAGACATACAAGAGCTTTTGAACATCCGCACCCGCATGGCTTTTCCGGGAACTGTTCGAGATCACCACTTACTGGAATATTATCGATAACTGCCCCGATCGGCATCAAGAGTATAAAAACTCTGCTTGTAAATCGACCATATGTCTCATTGACACATACAATCTAGATGTAAAGCATGGTATCTATGTGGCTGAGATCCCTCAACACGCACCAAAACACCCGCGTACTCTCTTTGTCATCGCTGAAACTCCTTTTTTCCATAACCACTTTCAGGTATCCTCCCGACCTGAAGCTTCCTCCTTCCGCTCTACCTATTGCTGTGCTTTTGACCGCTGCTGTCGCGTTGCTCGCCAACATTGGAGCAGGGAAAACCTGCGGTAAGCAAGTCATCACAACCATCACACAACTGGCTAGGCTGACAACAATGCTTTCAAGAAGGGGCAAGCAGTAGGTCCTTTCCCACGGCTTGCTGGATCACAGTCAATTAACTCGGCCATGCAGCGAGACATTGTTGTGGACAGTCGTCACATGAGAAGCAAACGCCAAAACGAGTATTGCAATGAACTAGCAGATGACACTCAAGAAGAGAGTATATGTTATATCGATGCAGAGCTCGACGAGTGCATAAGCGTTGCAAGTCGGGATATAGAGGCGGAAACACAGTGTTGGCAGAGTGCACTTCAGGATTGCTCGGACAACGTAGCTGATAACGCTGACAATGTTCACCCCTGCTACCAAATCTGAGGTAGCATGAGGTAAAACGTATCAACACCTCTAGCCATTCACGGACCCAGGTTTTAGATTCTAGTTGCTGCGGCTGAGCAAGCAGGTTGTGAGCAACCTGGCTGCCCTAAGGTGAGGTGCAAAGCCTCAAGGGGGAGAGAATGCCGCGGCTATGGATTAGTTTGGGCTTTTGTCGATGTATGTGCTTGGAAGACTATTCTTCTGCATGTGAAAGGGTCAACTATCATGTATATTCAGAGGTTTCATCTCTCCAGCAGATTGGTTCAGTATCCATTTGTATTTCAGCGTCTATCAGCAGTATTAGTGTATCTTCGGGCTGGCAAATGTGAGTGGTGTCGATGCTCAGCTTCCTGCTACAAAATGAAAGAAAGCAGGCGCTAAAGCGAGAAAGCTAGTGGATGCTATTGACAGCTTGCATTTGGATTGACTTCTCACGGAGCGAGAGCAATGTGGATCACAATTATCAATCCTATCGGTAGTCGGGTGCTATCCAAGAAATCTTACCCCGCATCCATGATTCGGATTGAGGATCCGACGACCCGAAGTTGTGCAACCGTGCGTCGATATAAATAACTTGTTGTTATTCACCTCCCTGCTTCGGAATTTCTTGCACTTCCCAGTCATATACACAGCTCCAAATAATGTCCAGCCCAACAATGCAAGTCGCCCCCGAGCTCTACCTGATCCCCCCTACCAAACACTCTCCCAACTCCCCCTTTCCCGTTATCGTCTATCGCGGCGCCCTTCTTGATCGTACTCCAACCGGTGCCTCGGAAGCCATAGAGTTATCTGAATGGGCCCACGGTGGTCATTGGAAAATTGGTGGCGAGAAGGTCGCCACCACACCTCATTATCACGGCACGACCCACGAAGCCTACACCGTTCTCCAGGGAAGTGGGACCTATCTTCTCGGTCGATCACCGTTGGACCCCGAGACAGATGAGAAGGGGAATTCCGTGGGCGTGAAGTTTGTCGCGAAAGCAGGTGATGTCTTCGTCTTTCCGGTACATAGTTCCAAACCACTCTATTGAAGGAAACTTATGTCTCACGATGAGGTGAATTACAGGCTGGAGTCACGCACTACGTGACTGAGACGGAGGACGACTATGAAATCATCGGGTTCTATTCCTTGGTGAGAGGCAGATTAGCTCTTATTCCCCTGCTGCAGACTGATCAGTGGCAGAACGACCGAAACTCCAGAGAGAGTCCGTATGATATGGAGTATGCCTTAGACTCGGTTGAGAAGACCGATGAAAAGCGGCATATGTGTAGGCAAGTGCCTGTTCCGGCCCACGATCCGATCTACGGTACGGAAGGGATTCCGAGAATCTGGCGAGAGGAGTGAGAGCATGCTGACCATATGTTCCAATCATTTAACTTAACGTAACGACCTGCACTGAGATTATGTCTCTCAGGAAGACTCACTAGTGCATCGCTTCTCTTTCTAGTCGACATTTTATTTTCGTGAAGTAGGACATAGGTCTCGAACTGTTGGCCCCCTGCGATCTGTAATTACAAGGAGAGCGGGATCGACCAGTTGTAAGACAATATGTAATCAAACACGAGATCACAAAGTCAACAACAAGATGAGGAAAAACTTGATGCAGGCAGCTTAGAGCCGTGAAATGAGGGTCGAGCGGTAGAGGTTCGTATTCGAGCTGAGTCTGAAACAATTGCGGGGGCCGAAGGATTAGGGGTGCGCGCCTAATTTACCCAACTACTAATCATCATTTTCTCCTCTAGGCTTTAGCGTCAGGGCCCAAAGTGAACTGTGTTGTGCTCTCGGGAAATGAAACATACAGAAGATTATTGCTGATTTGTCTCACAATGTGGTTTCCCGAGCAGGTATATAATCTTGGGCACAATACAAGATGAACGAATCTCGTCTCCCTCAGAATCACAATCATATACATCTGAGAATCACAAACATGTTACCCACATTGGTGATTCTTGGCCTCGGTGCCGTCGCCAACGCGCACGTCGCCGCCTGGGCGAAAGGAATGTACTGTCTGAACGGCACCTCCGGCACTGATGACCCCAACACCAACACGGCCGTCAACCCCCTATACATGCTCGATCAGTCCGACTGGTGGTTCCAGCACGACCGTAGCTGCGACAGCTTTCCCCCCGCAGACGGCGATTTTCTCGAGCTTCCTGCCAACGGACATTTCACCGTGGAGCTGGCGCACAACCGCGCGCAGACGACGCTCTCGTACAATGGCCAATACGCGGGCGAGTGGCCCGACGGCAACGACCACCCTGGAGACTGGTCGGGTCCCGGAAGCCCCCCTGACTGCATCCAGGATGACGGGGCGATGCACACGCAGAATCAATCCATGGCTGCAGGAACGGCATTCGCGATCAGCTATCAGAGCGACTTGACCCAGGTGACGATAGAGAACCTTGTTGTCTTTAGTGTTTTGGAGCAGTAAGTGTTCACTTGGATTTCGAGACGTCAAGTGACTTACACGCTTGATGAAGCACCCCGTGGAAGAGACTGGCTACGTACGACGTGCCGGATCTCCCTGCCTGTCCGCCTGCAGGCTGCACCTGCGCTTGGCTTTGGGTAAGATCTACATACATACACACCTAACTTCGTCAGACAATTCCATTGACAATTAGTCATAGGTTCCCAACGGTTGCGGACAACCTAACATGTGAGTTACATAGACCCTATCTTGTGGGACAAGGACTAATGTGTTAAGGTACATGCACGGTTTCAAATGCACCGTGACGGGAGCCAGCTCGACCAAGACTCTTGCTGCGGCACAAGCTCCTGTTTACTGCGGTGACGACTCATCGAAATGTGTCAAGGGCGCCAAGCAGATGATCGCATGGAACCGTCAGTACTCGATCCGTGGCGTTGCTGCCTCATTGCTGATAAGAAGGTTATACAGAACAATCCGGTAACAATGTGGAAACCCCCAGTGGGGTCAGTCCCGCGTACAGCAGCGTCTTAGGGTGGGAGAGTGGTATGATCATTTATTGCACCTAATAAATACTTGACTGACCACAAACCACACGCAGGTGCTCAAAATGATATTTTCAGCTGAACAGCCGGTCCTTGGTGATTACCTCAATGCAGCTTGAGTCGAGGATTTCTGTACTATATCTTTGTCAATGATTGATAATGGCCGGTGTGGATTGTGGCATTTCGGATTTGACTGTAGCATACACCCTCTATCGGGGACGAGTCAGCATTGATCCCGCCACAGCCCTTTCCAGAAACTGTACCACGAGAAAGATTTTGTGACGGCTATCCACATTGTCGAGGGCAAAGAGTTCGTCTCTGCCCATCAGAGTAGCATGGTCATATTGGGTAGACTGTGGGATCACAGAACCCGTGAAGCCACGGAGAAAATGTGATTCCAGATCTTGCGGTCGGAACTGCTTGCAATGGTCTTCGACGTATCACTCTCAGGTACTAGTCAGGAATTGTCTATGAGAGCCACCTCAAACGCGACGTGATGCCCGAAACTCACTCCCAAGCACGCGAGGTCTTGTTCAAGTGATAGCCTCACATCTGCCTGAGTTCGCTATTAGAGGCTCCCCTGCTGTCTATGAGCTCTCTGACATGTGATTCTCATAGCGTCGAAGCTACCTTATAGCTTATCTAGTTTAAAGCCAGAAGGACTGGTCGCAAATCAGATTGTTAGACAGTAGCAGGAAGCTCTAAGCTAATGGGACTAAATACAGCAGCCAGCCTACAACTATGGGTTCGTAGCACCCAAGCGATTGTTGAGGCATTACGGGCAGGCAAATGGACGACAGAACTCCTTAGCATCAGATAAGATGAAATGACGGAATCTCTCATCCTTGATTGGGCGATAAGCCGCGGGTCGTGGAAATAAGCTCGGGGAGCATTCGTGGCTATCAGATTGGTCGCGGGTGGGCAGAATCACTCGTCGACGTCACGGGGATGAGTCTTCCAGTACTCATCCAACTCTTTGTCGCTCAAACTAGGGACAGCATCGTAATGAGTGAGCGGTGCTAGAGGGATGCCCAGCTCCTCGAATTTCGCAAGGCGTTTCTTGGTCAGCTCGTGGGTCTTGTTGACACTGTACACCTTGACGCGGTGCGCGGAAGACGTGACGTGCAAACCCCAGTTCCAGGTCTGACGGATTCCAATCGGCTCAGTGTTGAGAGCGTTGTCCCATGTCCTCACGACCAGCTCGATCCATCCTTCTACATCGCAGGGAATATCAATCTCCCATGTCCGCCACGTCCATTTGCCCTTCTTGGACAGGCGCTCCTCCGGGACTGCATACCAGGTGAAACCGCCATCTGCTGAGAGCTCGACACGCTCCGGCCAGCGTCCACCACCACTGTAGGCCCATCCCTTGCATGCAATTGACCCGTTGTGGAAGATAACTTGGTGCTGCCAGGGTGACATGATCGCCGAGCTGACAGGCATCTCCTGGATCTGGATCCCGTCAATCGGGCGCTGGTTGTACTTGCCGACCTGCTGGTTGAAATAGAGGTATTCGCGGCTCTGAACTGGAGCAATTGAAGCATTCTCAATTGCCTTGATTCTATAAAGCCATTTGACGGACCTCGCCCCGATATACCCGGCAACCATGACGCGTAAGGGGTACCCATGGATTTTGGGGAGTGGCTCTCCATTCATCTCCCAGGCGAGCATGACCTCATTAGCCTTGACCTTAGACCAGGGCACGCTGACCACGTAGTTCATCACTTCCAAGTCCTTGACGTAAGTCTCCGCGCCGTATAGTTCGAGATGCTTGGCGCCGTCGATCAACCCTCCACAATCCTTGATGACCTTCTTCAGGCTGATACCGACATATCGAGCTGTTCCAATGGCTCCTTCAGCCCACGGTGCTTGGGGCACCTCATCGCCTTGACCAGGATATAGAGTTATCTGTTCGATTCGACGAGTTCCAGAGCATTGCATGGTGATAGTCTTCTCCATGCGCGCGAACCGAGTTTCGTCCATCAGTTCGTCCAGGGTGTACGTCTTTGGGTTCTTGACTAGCCCGTCTAGCTTCAGCTCGAACTTATCCTTATCGATCAGCGGAATACCGCCGTGATTGCGCACGAAGTGCAAGGGATTCGGGGTAATGGGCTTCGACGTCACCAACCGTTTGGGCGGCTCTCCGTTGTACGGGAACTGCAAGAGATGCAGCATGTCGGGATGCTTTTCTTTCAGGACCGTTTCCCACGAGTCATCAGCCACGGTTGTCAGCTCACCGCCGATGGCAGCATGCCAGGCTTTGAAGTCGTCCCCCGACAGTACGGGGTTGGTGCCGGGGATAGGTCCAAATTGGTAGTCCGGACAATCCGGAAAGGTCTGAGACTTGAGGATTTCATGCGCCTTGGCCTTCTTCTCGGGGTGATCCTCCCATTCCACATATCTGGCAGTGAATCAGCTGGATAATTGAGGTCGATAAGAAATGAGACATACCCAACCCAGCCCTCTCGTTCCCGAGCAAACAATTTATCGCGATTCCCAACCGCCTCAATCGCCACTTTGTCTTGCTTGATCTTGGCCGGCGGACGAGGATATATGTGGATGGTCTCTTTGCCGGTCTGGTCGAGGATAGGCAGCTTGTGGCCTGCCATGCCCTGCTCAATCATCCACTCATCGGGGCGATTCTTGGTATCTGATTTCTGGCTAATTTCCATTTTGAAGGTGTGCTCGCGAAATTGAGAGCCGGTTCGACGTGCTCAAGTTGTCTAGTCGTAGGGCTGAGAGTGGGTTGAGGAGGTGTGTTATCTGTTTATCTGCTCGCAACGAAGGAGGGGCAAGTCGATCAGTCGGATTCGGGAATTGGTGATTGTCCAATGACGTCTCCCAATCGCGTCCAGGTGGCTGTCACGTCGGATAAGGCGGAGTCAATCACATCAGCTTCTCGTATTTCTCCCCGACCGGACTTCCTGGGCTGGCTTGCAGGGGTCGAGAGAGGACAAAGCCACATACCCAATGCATGGTCCATTTGCTTGCACAGGACACCAGTCCCAAGACGGCATCTTTAGAGTGCTCCATGCATTTTGCTACCAAAGATGGCCTGTGAATGTCTCAAATGATAGCCTATTAGATCCTGGTTTCAAATACTAGGGCAGCACACCTCGTGTCGGACACCACCACGTCATATGAGTGCGCCGTGGTTGCATCGCTCATAATCCCACCAATCATTCCAGCTCGATTACTCTGCGATGTTCAGAGGTGAGAAACAGTGGCCGTCAACTTACAAGCTCTGCCATAGAACAGAGACGTCGAAGGGAAGTGGGGGGAGATCATCCTGAGCTCCACTCGGCCCAAAACTCATCCGGAAATTCCGAGCCTAGACCCTGTTTCGCATTCGCCCAGGAATGTCAACACCAAACCTGCAACATACTGAAGGTATGAGCTCATCGAAACTCTGTCGCATTGCCTCTGCCGCTGATAATGTTTCAAATAGCTTTCTTGAGGCAGTAGCAATCTTTGACTCGGTGCCAGAACCCTTGTGGAACTAAGATGCGCTGATGCGACCGTAGAAGTTTGGCCTAATTGAGAGCCTGAGGCAGTGCACGTCGGGGGTCCATCTCGCACAGTGGTCACTACCACTTCAATTGTCCTTATCGTCGTACAGCCTCTTGTACTCAGTTTTTTGAGAGATTTTTGCTCCTTTCAGGTCCCTGACATATGCACAGTCTAGTCAAGGCTTTCGACTGGAGGAAGAATATTGCCATTGACGTGCAGCCTGAACACCACGAGGTACTCCGAGTATATGCGAGGGACTACAGGATGAGTGCATGTGCACACTACCCGAGCCCTCTCGATTCCTTACTCCGTATGAATGGGTGCAGTTCTTATCGGGCAAAATTTTCCTTTTCGTTAATGGTTAAGACCGCATGGAAGCTGCGGAGCGCCGGCAGCGTACCGCTAGGTATTCCACCCACAGGGGGCTTCAACCGGAGAACCCTCATATCGTCATAGACTTTGCTTTTTCTCCACCACAGACTCTAGGAATAGCGATAAGGAAACCACAAGTACCCGGCTAATGTATCCAGTGAAACAAATAAATCCGAAGAAGGCGAGAAGAAATTTAGTATACCTTGGCGAGGTAACGTGGTGAAACATCGGAAATCAGCTCCAGTTTCTGGCACCAGACCCCGACTCCTAAACAGGTATGAAGACCGGCATTTTTGCATTGCTGACTCATACGGGGTCTTTATGCAAAAGCGTTACTTTTGTGCGAACGTGTAAATCGTTCATTAATCTATCCCGAATGAATGTACTGTACATCTTTACCATCTTTGAATTTAGGCAGTTACTCCACTCGGTGATCCCCAATCTACAAGATACAACTCTACTTGGACTTCAAAATTGAACTTCAAAGAATTTCGATTGTACAGCAAGCTGCGAATAAAGTAATAGTAAGAAAAAGCGCCGGATCTAGCCCAGCGTCGAAGGAAAGTAGAAAGAAGGTACACAGAGCACTTTATACATGGGCTTGGCGAGTCATCGGCGGAAAGCGAAGCGGGCCATGTGACGAGTACCAGATCGCTGGCATCACTTGTACATGTCCCAATAGGACATGTGCCATAAGAAGATACGCCTTTTCTCCATGGGTTGTTGCAAAGAGTCAGCTGCTTAGACGTGGCCAACACCGGCGTTAGCCATGGTCCAGGCGGCAATGTTGGTAGGTGCCTTGGCAGGGGCGATGTTCTTGCCCTGGAACTTGCTAAGGATGCTGGTGTCGGAGCCGCTCATGGAGCCGGAGGATCCGAAAGCGTTAAGCTGGCAAGAACGGCCAAGGTAGGACTGGCAGAGCTTGTTGGTGTTGGCGTCGGGGGAGCTGAACAGGGCGCCCTGGTAGGGGGACTCAACCACGGTGTCGACGTTCTGGAAAACGTTACCCTCAGCCAGGACATAGCCACCCTGGCCAATCTCGAAAGCGTGGCCCTCAATGTTGTGGAAGAGGTTGTTAACCTATCAAAGTTCTTAGTGGGGTTCCGGTTTCCGTAGCTTCGCGGACACTTACGGCGTGAAGAAGGGTGTTGCTCTGAACCTTGGGCATACGACCGGACAAGTAGTAGAAGTAGTTGCCCATCATCGTGATCATGTCGTTAGAACCATCCAGATAGATTCCCCAGTAGTGGTGACCGTTACAAGTCGCGGAGTAGTCGGAACGGCCGTCGATCAGGTTGTAGGAGATGGTGACGCGGTTATCGGCCTGGGTACCAAGGACAATGTGCTGACGAGCAATGCGGGCAGTGGTAACGTGATCAATCCAGACGAGATCAGCGTTGTTAAGGGTGATAGCATCACCACCCCAAACGTACTTAGGGTTGATATCAGTGATAGCGATGTTCCTGGTCCGGGTCAATGGGGGAGTCAATGCAAGTACCGTGATGGAACAACCCACTGGATGATGATGTTCTTGGCACCGCTGACCATACGGATACCCTTTCCTTTGATACCTCCAGCAGAGCCCTTGCCGACAAGACTCTTGTTTGAGTTGACAGTGATACCGAGGACACCCGCCTTGTCACTGCACCACCTAGTCAACACTTGATCCCTCAACGGATACAACGAGTTGAATAGACTTACTAAGTGATGGAAGAGACCTTGGGAGCGTTGGGCTCGTAGTTGTTGCACCAGTTGTCCTTGTTAATGGCCTGTTGGCACTTACTGCCTGTACCCCACGGACTGCAGCCGCTGGTGGTCTCGGTGCCCTCAGTTCCAGTGAAGTCGAAGCTGTATTCAGATGGTTGGTTAGCCATGTTGCTCCACCTGCTGTCTTGAGGAACGAATGACTTACATCTTGTCGAGAACAATGACACGGGGCTGGCTGTCGCCCAAGTACGAGACCAGCTCGTCATTGGTCTTGGGGTAAACCTCAGCGGCGCTACCACCACCGGTCACACCCTTAGCAAAACCCTGGGCGGCACCAACGACACCAGCGTTGACGCTATTCGCGAAGACAGCCGCGGCGGCGGCGAAAAGAGTTGTGTACTTCATGATAAGCAGATGAAAAGAGTGTAAAGGAAAAGGAATGAATGAATGAGGAAGAGAGGAAAAAAGAGTGTGGTTTGATGGTTGGGATGAGCAAGTCAAGTTCATATCTTATATAGAGAATCCTGGGTGTCCTGGTGGAGTTGGAAGAAAACCCCTGTCTGCAGCTGAGACAGGGTTACCCAATTCATCAAGGAGCTGGAGCCAGGCGCCGAACGTTGGACCCGTTCGCCCATTGCAGCAGAGTAGAACCGGAGGTCCATCTGCAATGGGACATGCTCCACCCTGAGCAGATTCGGGGTTCTTGGCAGCACCCACACAGGCCAATTGTTTGGTCAGGAACAGGATACTATGCCCGTTCCACCGGAGTTCAATCCCTTCTAGAAAACATCCCTTGGCAGGACCGGTTCTACCATAGCATCGATAGCATGAACGAAGATGAATCCATTGAATGAGGCTTTTTCTTTGCCCCGCTCGCAATTTCACGGCACCCCATGATAAGAGGTCAAGTTTGGGTACTGAAGAGTGCCCACCAAAAGCTTGCAGCTGAAGATCGGAGGAACACGGAAAGCTTAGTTCTTGATGGACTAGCTGGATTGATACGGTTGAGCATGGTTGAAGAAGTCAAGACTGAGGACTGTACGAGCCCACGAGGGAGCTTGGAGAGGGGGTCGTTGCTGCCTGCAGACCCTGACTGAAACGCTCGGACCGAATCGCTTTCCGTCGCTGCCGAACACCGCAACAGTCACGTGCAGCGTCTAGACCTAATCTCATCTCACGTGAGTTTTAATGCAACAGTCCTGCCAAGCCTCTTTTGTCTCACCTCAATATCTGCTAAGAGTCTTGGTAGGATCACTACCGTATGATAGAATAGATTGATTCCCCACGAGGTTTAGAGATACCAAGACTTGAACTGTCAAGCGCCTAAGACATTTCTGGCTTCCGATGGTCTACGCTGCGATTCTATTAGCGGATCAATGCCGTTGAGGATGAAGTACCGATGCAGCCAAGTATAATTCATCTTGTCGTAAGGATCCTCTGCTAATTCGAGTTCCCGCTGCTTGATGATAGCTGGCGCTTCTCCGAGTCATGGTGGCTGAGTCCCGCGACAAGCTACTACACCGTCGCTGAACACCGATTGTAAACTTTCTACAGAGTATGTTTACTACAGCACAATTTCCAGATTAGCCGTCCGCTATCTTCGAGCACCTTTCATTGGTACACAAGAGAAACGTCTGGTAGCTTCATCAAGTGTGTCATGAATCAATGTACTTCTCTACTCTATTCAAGTTTATAAATTGCACCTAACTGTGAGTGGCAAATTGTCATCTCTAATCCGAGCCCCTGAAGTTTACCGCCAGGTGGGACTCTACTACAGTATACTCATTTATCCTGCCGGAGCCGTAGCCTCGACATCCGTTAAGTAGAACGCTCGAAAGACGAGCTCTTTTGTGTTACCTCAATACTTCCAAATATGGTTCCAAGAAAGCAAGTAAGGCAGCGAGGCATGGGTTGTCCCATTAAACTGCAACAATTCTCAATCAAAACAATGTAGTAGATACATGGCTGCCTTACTCGCTTGCTTGCTTGACGAGGTGCTTAGAGAATGTCGCAATGCCTCATTTGTCTATAAATATGCCTAACGGATATGTGATTGACTACCCCACTTACTGGGAGAGATGCTGGGAAAGGTGCTTGGGCAGGTGCTTGGAGAGGTGTTTATTACCCCTATCGGATAGCATCAGACCATAATATGTAGCCAGCTAATGTAATAGTATATATTACACAAGATGGCGGCCATTGTCTGCCTCCTTGAGTCTTAACATTTCGAGTTTTGATGATCTCGGCCCCACTCTCAATAAATATATCGATTCTGAGAACCTCGAAGTCTCCGTCCTCCTCAATGCGCCAGGGTAGGTGATAAGGCGCAAAGCTACCTGTATTCAAGGCAAGCAACAACTCAAGTCATGGGGACAGGAAGAAGGACGGAAGATTCCAGCAGGACCCTCGCTCCGCACTGTGTATGTAGCTTATTAATGCCTAAGGCATACATGAGCTGGTGCCTGACAGGCTGCCGCGGCGCCTGTGAACAAGTCAACCTTTAGCGAGAGACAACCTGCCGGTAGATAATCCTCACGTTCGTTACATTCGGAGAGAGGGTTTCATCAACTAGGCAGGCATGTAGCTAGAAACGAATATGGAATGGATCGCTTCGTTCTTTTGTTCTATTGAGCTCAACCAGTCAGTTGCCGCGGCCGGAGGAAGATAATTCTAAAACACTGCCAGGAGAACAAAGGAGAATGCGGCCATTCGCTTGATCCAGCCTTACAGGACAGGATGTAGTCATCCAGCCTGAAAATTTTTTCCAGCCGCAGGAGAACAGCCCCGATCAATTTGTTGTGAATCGATAGACTTCGCGTTGCAGGATCCGGACCTCAACCGGTTGGGGTCCAAGCCACATTCCTCCCTACACCCGTCCACGTGCTCAACATATGGTCTCCGACAGTTATTTCAGTTTGAATGATTGAAATCTGTGCTTCTGTTTTGAGCAGAATTGCGCCCAATCGACCAATCGCGCATAGCTTACCTCTTTCCCTGGAATCTTTGGGGGCGAGCCTGCGGCGGCAATGTCGGGCACAGTACTTAGGGCTTCAACATCTCGCACTACTCATCTTCATTTCACTGCGATCATCAGTCGAGCCTAGTCTCGTCACTTACAGTTTCATATCACTCTCGAACGAGTTTGATCTCAGTCAATATTACCTAACAAAGAATGCTTACATCCTTAGATAAGATCCTCCGTTACTTGCATTCAGGATCTCACGATCGCAAGGTCAAATGATACCTCAGAAAAGCCACACAAGGTCCAATCTACAGTTGATCACACATTGAGCACAGTATCAATACTAACAGCGTGCTAGAATCAATCAAGCAAGACCTCCAAAATGCACTACGACCCATAATAACAACAGAAATTCACAATCCATGGACGACATTCGACGCTTCATGTGTGGAGGACTCGGACCGCCGACGCTGTAAGATATGCGCCCGCCACAATTTTTCGAGCCAGCTAATCCTGGAATTGAGTCTGGAATAAGAACAGCTTGAAGAGCCACATTCAACGAACGCACCCGGGCGCTTCATTCCCCAAGAATGCCATCGATTTGTTGTGGAAATGCTTCTAATTCTTCGCTCACCATCCGTTTACATGCGAGTCGACCGACAGGATAGCCAACGAGAGAGTCGACGCAGATGCCTTTCAACGAGCAGTAGCCTTGATCGCGCACCAAGGCACTGAACTGTTGGGAGCACAAGAGGCAGGAGATTACTATTGGCGACTTGACGAGACGTTCTTTCACAGAGCCCATTTCGCAAGGGTGCTAAGAAGCATCGGTCTTTTGGGGAGCACCCAGGTCTTGTCCACTTTTGAGCCACCAGACTATTCCCAGTCTTCTTTGGACGATATTATGGATGTGCTGGCTACGACACAGCCATTTTCTGTAAACCTAGCACCGTCACCAACTCAGCTGGAAGCGGCTGTCAGGAGACTGCTCGACGCGAGATTCTCAACCACAACATACCGGCTCAGACACACGGAGCTCTCGACCTTTTTAGCCTTACTTCTCCGGGTGAGGGTTTCGAATGTCAAATGGGGCAGGGATCATTACTTTGGGTCATTCGCGGACGAGGATCCGGCGGATGAGGTGTTGGCTAACGCGATGGCTGCAAGACTGATCGGCAGTAATAAGGCAGACTTTGACAAGGCTTTAGAACTGACGATGGATGCATTGGTAAGAAGCCTCTACCCATCCGTCAACTAAGATGCTAACAGGTGCAGCCAAATCTTGTGCCACGTTTCCATCAACTATGGACAACTCTTTTCCAGCCTCCAATGTCGGATTTTGACGTGGAACTCGAACCAAAAGATGAAAATATGTTATCGCGTTACTTGGCCGCCGCTTCATTGTTCGTGCCTTTGCCTGAGGCATTGACACCCGCTGGTTTGCGAGATAGACACATCAGTCATAATAAAGTCGGAGCGACTCAAGATGAACCTATTCTATCATTGCCGAGTCTCGTCCACCACCTCCAGAATATGCCAGATTCCCACCTCATCCTGGCCACGAATCTTCACGATCCCCATGCTCCAGCAACCGTAATAGGAAGCTTCATTCCTAGTCTATTATGTGCAATGTCCGACAGCAGCAGCGGAACCCGAAGCCGCAAGACTGGAGACGCACACCTCCTCTTCCAGCTACAGCTGGACTTCCGACTGATCCGATGGGAAGGACCTCACACACTTCTGAAGACCTTGATCAAGACCAATTACGAACTTGCCTCTCTCCACGCCGTGGATGCAGAGAGCGGGCAACAGACGTGCATGAAACCTTACTATATCGGGAACTCGAAAAGAAGCACTGCTAGGCTGCTTATCCATCCAGAAGGGAGTTCGGTGTCATTGCATGGCTCAAATGATTTGAGCACTGCAGCGGTGGGGAGATATAGAGAGGTAACGAGAAGTGACACGGGAGATAAGGATTGGGAGGTAGTCGTGCAGCATTGCACAATTCATATGTTCGCCGTGGTCTAAATATGTCTAAAGTTCTGAGTCATACAGTTCTACCACAAGATTCATTGGGGGTGAAACTGACGGGCTCCTTCCACGGATGCCTAACGCTTCCGTGGCGGTATAAATGTACATAGTTCAGAGCGAAGGGTCTCTGGGCCTTCCTCTTCTCTTTTGGTTCTTATGAATGGGACTCTTGCCTGGAAGACTGTATGCCTCTCGAATCCTTACAGAGCATTTAATAATTCATACTAATGTAACTGCAAACGCTCGTCCAAGTTCTCCGCTATGCACCCTCATCTCACATGTACCGGTCCCAAAGTAGTGCCGCGCCAGCCAACACGGCCATCGAAGTTTCAAAGGCCGCAACCGGTCTCCAATTGCCGCCATTCCGATACATGACCCACGCCGCCACTAGACGAGAAGCTATCGAGGAGAACATGATCAGAGTATCGCGCTGGTATGTCGAGATAAGATAGTATGTGCCAAGCGCAAGAGAGGTCAGACTACGAGGACGATCAGCGACCGGCATGCTGTGTGAGTTGTGAGATACAAAGGCTTACCCTATGCATTGAACAGCGCCGTCAGGCGTTCCGGTCAATGACGAGCCCTCGAAGTGGGCGACCGATGATGGAAACAGGATGGAGTAAAATGCATTTCCGAGAAGGAACACGCCTTGGGCGGCGAATACAGTGCTTGAGACGCTGCCCATGCGGAGACCAAGGTTGTGGAAAGACATGATTTAATTACTTTGTGGTTTGGTGAATTATGGTGATTTGACCGAGTGAGCTTATACTTGGGTGCGCGAGGCTTACTATTTTTATACCAAGGGGGTTTCGTGGGGGCTTTCGGGTTCGCTCCGATCGGCCGCCAAGTCTAAGCGTTGCTGCGGCCCCTCGGATAAACTTTCATACGATTGTCCATACTACCTAATCTCTTGGCAAGAGGAGATGGGAGGTGAGAAGAAAAAGTTCGAGAAAGGAAGATAGAATAAGAGAACACGAGCATGCGTAGGAAGGTTCTCTTGAGATTTGCCTTGGAAAAGACATATAGAGCGGAACTTTTTTCGGAGACCATAGCCTCGCGTCTGTCAGGCCCCGATCGGCCGGCCAGTGAAGGGGGAAGTTCTCCGCATCGTACATGCCAATGGAAGATGTTGAAGCGGTATTTGTGCCGGGCGGTCAACAGATCGAGGATGGCGTTGACCGGAAAGAACTTCCGCGTGGTGTCGAGCATAAATCTCCTGCGGGGGTAAAGATCGGAGTCTTCTTCCATGAGATCGATGTATTATTTTGTACCCAGGGCGAAGTTGTAGAGGGCGGAGCAGAAAGGACAGGCGGGCACCCAGACTTTCTACTCGATTTATCGCCACACAACTACTTCATACGCGGCATCGCCTGTATAGTACTTCAACACCCTTGTTACAAGGGTCCTTGCTAAGGCAAACTACAAATAAATTTTCTACCCAATGATCACTTGTAACCCGATACGGTATCAGAAGATAGATTTCGGTCCCCTGCATGGACCACTGTTAACAATAAGGCTGGAGTTCGATATCGATCACGTGTATTTGGGGGCTGTGTAATCTTTGAATAAAACAGCTATCCTCGGCTGCGATAATTATATGATTAGTATGTTTAAGCCTCACCAATTCAATCTTCCGCCTCGTGATCAGGTGACGCTCTCCGCCCCCCGATTGACTTGGCTAGTTCGTCCGCGCCACGCGGAATGCAGAGATGTCCGCTTCCATAAGAATTCATCATTATGAATATGACGATTTTAAATACAAGTTGTGCAAATGTGCGGCTGTGCCTTATTTAGGACTGAAAGTGGTCAGGCTATAGTTGGAATGAGGTGTCAGAACTTTTTGGGTCGGGCAACGTACTTTCGGTGGCCTGTTTCTCTTCGGCAGCTGCAACAGACGAGACGTCCTTGGCTGTGTTGCTTCCTGTGTCCGTGGTCTTGTCCTGGTCCAGGCCTGACAAGAAGGAACATGAGTTTCCCAAGTGGGGCGACCTCTCATGCTCGAAAGAGTTCAACATACTATCAGAAAATTTCTTCAGTTTGTTATCGAACAACAGACGTGGTCTTCTTGGCTGTGTCTACGACGCCTTTCACTATACTGACGGTGGTATTTTGAAGCAATGAAGCCATTCCGGGGAGTTGGGCTGTACTGGCTGGTACTTGAGGTAATCGTCGGTGGTGAGATAGGTTTGGGACTCTAAATAGACAGGTGAGCTGGGTATACAAGGGTGAGCGTATTTATTGCGGATCTTTTGACTACAGCGGAAAACTGCCCGAGGAAGCTACATGATCCTGCTAGAGACAAATATTTCTTTCGTAATACGAAAACTCTGTCGTCCTCTGCTGACTTATCTCTCCGCGGTGAAGGTCGGCCTGAGAGAGAGCCACTGGAGAGAGGTGGTAGGTCCAGTTGACCCGCAGTTGCCCTGACTAGGCATTTGGTTGGCTTGGACCGATTGGGGCGATAGGAAGAAATTTGTCTGCATCTAGATTGCTCGTAGGGGCGTTATACACAATGATATCAGAGTGCATCTTCGAAAGCTGGTTATTCTAGGTGACAAACCTGCCTCATCTGTGACACACTCTTCCGTAGCGTAAGAAAGATCGCTGTCATGTTAAACGATGGCGGAAAACCTGCAGAATCGAGAATCGCCTGTGCGGGGTATCAAATCTATCTAGATTGGAAAGAGGGGTCGGAAGGCAGGAAGATGGCTGTACTATTACGACATGTGCATACATGCAGAGCGTGTTGATCGCTGCACGCGCTGTGGAGGCTTTCTAAGATGATGGTTCGAGCACTCGGGATTTTGATTTGGGTCGGCCCGCAAGAGACCCGCTTCAGCTCGACACGATCAATGTCGCTTCGAGCCCTAGCTCCGTGCATCTGATCAATCGTGAGCTGATCTGCAGAGTGGCTGCTGGCAAATGGTTAATGAGGTTCTGCTTCCACATCGTAATCTTCGAAAGCCGCTATGCATCAGCTGCCTTTCAAAGACGGGTTCGTCTGACTATCAGCAGACGTCGTACAATGGTTCAAGTTTTGCTCTCTTCTTGGAAATATTACGATAACCGGGTCGACAGTTTTGTGAGCTCGTGATAATGATCGTGGCCGATGTGAGTCCGACCCGCCTGTGCCATGAGAACTGGCATTTTGGCTGGATGCACACCCGACGGGTCGCGAGCGCCTCCGAGACTTGATCTCAACAGCCCTTTCAGAAGTGGGCCTGATACGTAGAGTAATCTGCCTCTTTCAGGTCTCTAAAGAAAGACGAGTGCTCATATTCAATGCACAGTTTGCAACTATACTACTGCACGGTGCAACGAACCGGGTATAGTCGTGGCTGACATGCTGACTGCACAGATGTATTCTCGGGTTGTGTGAGTGTAGCTCTACCATCACTTTCAGGTAGCTGAGCAATTCTGCGGCTGACCTCATCATTGCCGACTAATGCCCCCGCCGTGGTTCGCCAAAGGTAGTAACTATGTTTATCAAGGCTAGACACATGAGGTCGACGAACAGCTTTCGTCGGATCAAAAACAGTATAGATCTGATAGGTACTGCACATCACAATTCAGGTGAAGCAAGCTGCATGTGTCGTCTTGATTGCCCGCGGCTCTGAAGCCTATGTATTATGATGCTATTTTACCCGGGGGTGGGTGTTATGAAGAGAATGGGTTCAAAGATCCTGCGGTACATCGAAAGAGAGATGACATATGAATCATTTCTCAGAAACCATGATTCTGCGAGATTGAGATGTGGGAGATTGACAAAATAGCCGCACCAGGCCCAGGTCGACAAGCTGATTACACTTTGATGATTATTGTTCACATTGACCTTGGCAAAGCATGCTAAGGTACACAGGAGAAAATAGTTATGTCCCAGAAAACCTGGTTTATCGTCATGAAAACAGATTTAATCAGAAAAAAGGAAATGGGGCAAAAAACATACAACAGAAGGGATTCGCTGGTGGTCACCCACCCAACTACTAACCTCCCGGCGTGTGGCTTAAGTACGGCTGAGCGGACGGGAAGCCCTGTTTTCCACACCCTGTGGTCGTATGTGCTTGTTTTATAGATAGCTGTCTTATAGCTAGCGCATAAATTCATCTTATTACTTGATTACTTGTAATGTTAACTCATAACTACGAGATTCCCCCTCGTATTTTCAATTGCGGCCAACAACCGCCGAGTTTCTCTTCGTCAAAGTGCGGCCTTACACTATCACGCCGCGAGCGACAGCCAGCCCGGCTGGGGCTACTGCTCAATGGTCAAAGATGGCCACAAGTACAGCATTTCCACTCGCCATTGATAAACGTGGCCGACAGGCGAGACCAAGCGCACCGTCGGGTCGGTCGTCGGCGACTTCGGCCCCTTCGCCAAAGACATCCGAGTCAACCAGCGACCCATGCCGCGTGTTAAACCCTGTTCGAAACGTACGCTCATTCTATACTGTGTAAGATCCCAGGTTGGGAAGACAACGACCGCTGGCTAGAAGTGTGGGAAAAGTACAGTAACAAAGTCGCCTTCACGCTCGAAACCAACGGCACAAGGATGGACGTCATTGAGAAAGACCGTGCCATCACGGCCGAGGTTGAAACGAATAGGGTTCCTCAGCCTAAGACGCCCGCCTAAGTCCAAGATCTCCCCGACGACATCCAGGGCTGCATGACTACGAACCTGAAGAAAACTTGCCTGCTGACCATGCTGTTGTCGAGGAGTTGCGGAAACGAACCCAGAGGAGGAAGAATACAGCCCGCGGCCCAGATTCTTGCTAGTATTGTGTGTTCACACAGAGTCGGAGTGCATAGTTCGAGGTGCACACATTCCGACTTGCATCTAAAGAAGCAAGCATTGCTCTGTTCTTCTTGTAGGGCATCAATCACCATACCTGTCTCGGGGTATCACGGGACGACTCGACATGCAGTGTAGACCAATCTTGTTTTACCGTACTGAAGCTCAAGGCAGGGGAATTGAATGTTGACAGTGGCCTGACTGACGCCTCAATTTCCTGGATTTCGTTCTAGCATAAAATGAGTCAATGGAATCTAGTCTCCGCCGTAGTCTCCCGTTCACGCGATAAAGTAAGAGGAGCACGACCAACCCCGGATGCCTAAACCTCTCCTTCATTAGGAATACCTGTCCACCAACCCCGAAGATCCCGATACCAAGACCAGCCTCCCAGCGACCCCCCCAGGGCCAGGCCAGCGATGAACGCCGTCTTGCTCATCTGCGTCTTGAAGCTGAAATCGTACTTCCAGTGCTTTGGTCCTTCTTCCTTACTCTGGGTGTCTTTAGAAGCCGCCTCCTTGTCGCAACGAGCCGAATGGATCGAAAATGCTGCTAACGCGCGAGACGTCATCGTAGCATTTGCGCTGCAAAGGTAGCCATTGTTGTGAAGAAGGGCGCGTATTGGCAGGCGGCGCAGCGTTGTAGCCATGACGGTTGGTACGCGGTATATGCTGTTGAGGTTAGTCAGTGTTGTAAAGAGGGTATGAGGAGATGGACTGAAATCAGTTGCTAACGTTGTCAATCTGGCAATATGCGATCAATGTGAACAGCGCAGATAGACGGTGCGGCTCGTAGTATTTATATGTTGGTGAGTCTGACTGGGCGGCCGGGAAACATTCCGCTCTTAGACTGAACGGGAATAGCGGCGGTCGGGTCCAATCGGACTAGCCCGCAATGACCCTAAAAATAGGTCGGGCCTCCCGGTTTAGGATGACTAGCTCGGCCGTTCCAGTCAGGTTGTCGATGCTGGTTCGAGATCTACGATGACATTTACCTACTCGGTTCCACAGGGAGAGTGAATTATGAGATATGTGTATGTGCAAATTGCTATTTCCCCGTGTACCTTAGGAATAGTATCGGTCTGCATAAATTGGAAAGCGGCCATCGAGCCGATCAGTGTTCAATGTGCGATATGGTCACGTGCATTGTAGTATGGCATGGTATCCTGCCTTGAAATCGCTTCATTATTGGTTACGACGAGCCCTTCTCATGAGGATGTATTAAATATTATTGAGTTTCTATTTATCTTAGAGGCGGGTCATGGTGCTTTATCAATCCTTCGATGCGGACAAGATATACTTGGTTTTCAAAGTGCTTGAATGGCGATGGCGACGGTAACACCGGGAACGGGATGGCTGTCTCAGTACCAAATTCACTGGCATCACCGTTGCTAACGCTTTGCTACAGATACACCATGTCTCGCGTCGTACTTGGACCCCTGCACGTCAAGACAGTGGTCTTGACCGGAGGTGCAGTCATCACGGCCTTAACAAGCAAACAATTCACCTCACCACATGGAGGCCCCGGAACAGTCATTGAAGCAACGAAGAACCTCAAAGACTTAGATCTTGCAAACAGGTGAGGAGCTACGTCTGCGGTACAATACCTTCATCGACGCCGTGAAATACTACACCACAACCACAACATCACTGTCAGATGGCTTTGTGATCCCATTGCTGGCGAAAAACCAGGGTGGCCGGATATGCCGGTGGCCATCCCAACCACAGTACTCTATGTACTACTTGAAAGACACTGCTCCGTTTACTCTCTAGGGCTGGGGTCTGAGTGGCGCGGGACTTCTCGCCGGCGTGACCCTGGACAGGGTGGCGGCGAAGGAAGTTTCAGCCGCCCCGTGAAAAAGCGCTACAAGGCAACCATGGTGGCGGTAATATCCGTTCCCTCTCTGTGCCTCGGCCTTGTCGGATATATGGATCATGAAGCGGGCAGAAAGCAAGATTGGCTGATTGTGAACGCGTATATTGGAACGGCTGCTGGGCACGACGCGAGCTGGGGAGGTGCTATTGCCCGGTGGACCGACGAGTTTGAGAACGCTTTGATGTATCTCGGCTTACCAGTGGGCTCAGTTTGTACGCTGGTCAGGTACTATTGCTTCGCGACCGACTTCATGCATGACGCGTTGCTGGGACGGTAATTGTACTGTGATCTCTTGGTCCAGGGAATGGCGGTATTCTTTTAATAGCGATTTTTCGGTGATGTTTGCCCTGGTATAAATGTGTGATCCGTATTGGCCGAGCGATATGATGGAGCAGAGGGATAGTTTTTACTTAGACGCCACCTAATATCGTCACGCAGCTACAATTGGCATCGAAATGCCTTCGTAACCATATCACTACGTCCCGTAAAACAGCCAATACTGAAATCAAATCTCAACTTTCCTTGATTGCCAAGAACATGCAGTGGGACTACCAAGGCCACTATATGCACAAGTAAAGAAAGCATAGTGCGTAGGCCAACACGCGGAATGTGAAAATCCTCCGAAGGCTACTCAAAGACAGCTCTTAGGGCTTGAGGTGCGTAACGAGATCCTAGGGCCCCTCGAAGAATAACTAAGAGCCCTCAGCAAGAAGAGTACTCTCGCAGTCACATATCTCCCCTAAGCAGGAGGAAGCGCCTCCTTGCCCTGTTTCCACTCGCGCTCGTACTTCCACTCAGTCACACCAGTAACACGCTTCCCACTCTGGAAGAAGACACGAAGCTGGATCTCCCTGCGGCTAAAGGCGAGGGCCGCGACCTGACTGCCGGGCACGCACTGCTGGTGGAAGCCGCCGCGCTGCCACTTGTCATCGTCACACACCATCTCCATCACCTGGTTATCCTCGTGAACGCAGTAGACGCGAATGCGGTCGTTGTGGAAGACGGTAGCCGCCAGATCTGTGCGAGGCGGGGCCTTGGAGACGGAGAACTCTCCGTCCTTCCAGTGGCGGCCGTCGTACAGCTTCTCGCGGAGGCTGAGGTCGTCTTTCTGGTGGTAGACACTGTGATTGACTTAGCAATTGACACGGTGGTAATAATATGGAGCAGGTTACCGAATCTTCATGGCAGAGTCGTGCACGTCGGAGCTCTTGGGGCTCACGCAAGCCAGGCCGCTGCCGGGCAGGGCGCGGCCAAGGTTGGTCATCTTCGACCAGCCCTGTTTCTCGTCTGTTGCGGGTTTACTTGTTAGATAAATGCCCGCGCGCGACCGGAGAGAGCCGACTCGCCATCCTGACCCAACTCCTGGATAGTGTTATCCGGCATCTGCACATAGACGCGGAGGTGGGTGGCGTCCTTGCTGCGGTGGTAGCACGCCGCCATCATCGAGTAAGGCGCCACCTTGATCTGGGGGCGGTTGAGAGATCCCTCATACCATCTTCCGTGGTTGTCACGGTAGACCTCCCTGACCACGCGGTCTTCTCCAATGAAGAACAGATTCACCTGGTGCTTTGATTAGTGGAAAATCGGATTGCTGGTAAGGGACCTGATATTCACAGTATCGGAGGTCCGACAAATAGCGGCAATGGGGGACCCCAGGATCGCCTGTGCGACCACATCGTGTTGAGAGCCACCGGACCACTGGCCGTCGTGGAAGCGAGTCTCGCGGATACGGCCGTTGGTGTCCTGGGTGTACACCTGGAAATTATCCTCGGACCCGACAGCGGCAATGGCGCAGCCTGGTTAATGTTAGCATATGTGGGCATCGTAGATGATAGGGTGATGGTTTCGGAAGTAGGGGGGCACGCACGGAAGCGGATCTCCTGGGCACCGGCGTTCGACATGGCGAGGTGTCTTGACAAAGATCTGTTGGTCGGTTTGCTGGTTTGAATAGACAGTTGCGCAAAGCAGAGAATGCTTGGATGCTCTGTGCTGGGAGAGTGTAATGGTCTGGGCTTCTTAGTCCTCTTATATCTGGCCATGTTACACAGATGTTTCCTGGTGAACGCTTTGACCCTCACCCACGGGGATGAATGGCGTGGTAATTGTGCCACAGTGACAAAGATGTGGAAGGTCCGGGATGGAAATATCAACGTTTTCGTTGCAGGCCGCACCTATTTGGCCCGCTTCGGAGGACACAAGGCGCAATAACTGCGACATGGTATCGCACAGCCCTCATCTCATCGCCATACATAACTTCCTTTGATGCAACAAATGGTTTTACCGAGTCCAATAATTGCTGCACATTGACTTAGCAGTGATCGTTCGTGTGTCCGAGTGTTCAATTGAGAGTCATTGTGCTCTTGAAGCATTGGCGAGCGGGTGAGTCGGTAGCTGCCCTCCTTCACATTTACATACTTGGCCTAGCAGTGCGCCACTTGAACTTGCCATAATGCCTATTCTCGATAGGATAGCATGAAGTTTTGGCAGCATGCGATTATCAGCTTTGTCAAATGGCAGGAATTTACCTTGCGCACTAGGATCAGACAATGACTTGGGGCAATGAAGCGACAGTTTCGGGGCTAGCGCACCTTCATCGAAGCTTTCACGCCTATCCCGCCTTGTTCCAGTGCGAATGGACAACAATAACAGGTTTCGTTCAAAGATGAGGCGTCTGTTTATTCCTTCGGGCTCTCAGCAATTCTGCACAGTGGCAGTGAGGCAACAGACCAAGGAGAGTATTGTGTGTAATTTAATAGCTTGGCAAGCTTTTATTTTTTGTGCAGCCAAGACGGGGAGCACGCAAAGCTCTGAGCTTTTAGCACGCAAAAAGGTCATCACCATGAGTCTAACAATGATGCTGTCAGAAGGCCTTGTACCAAGGTCTACCGATAAACCAATGTCTGGGCAGTTGAATAATCGGTTTAAAGCTGTATAGGTACACCATCTACCTTCTCCAATGGCGCCCACCAATAGTCCTCGCCACCCGCTCTCGCATCAAAACGTAGACTCTGCACATCAGACGTTACCCAAAGCTTACCATGCCCCCTGCATTGTATTCTTTGCGACAAGCTCAATCGCCATCATCACTCCCATCGCCCCCGCAATATACCAACTCAGCGTCGCGATGGAGTCCTGCACCGGTCGCTGGTACGCATAATTGGTTGCACACGCCGCGAAGATAAGCCATGGGACGGAGTACGAGGCCCAGATGATGCGATCTGTGCGAATCTTCAGCATTCGGCACTATCCAAACCACTCCCGCAGAACGGCGCCTTCGGTTCCCGTGCAACATACCGCGAGCAGACTGTAGCCCCAGATCGGGAAGGAAAAGGCAGGCAAGAATAGTGACTATCCCCATGAATGCAGCGATAGCAGCGTCTGAGACATGCTAGCTTAGTTCTTGGACACTTGTCCTGCAGCCTCTCGGAACATGGAGAGTGAGCTTACACTTGCTGATTTGGGTCAATGGCGTCTGTGCCTCGGGGCTCGGGGTGACCTCATCTTCCCTGATCGCGCGATGCAGGCACAGCCCGACATTATCACCAAACACACGTTGGAGGTGATCGAGGGTTGCTGCTCGGAGTTCTGAACCGCAACCGATGTCCCAGTTAGCGGCTTGTTTTGTGGCAAAATCCACCGTAACATCGTGCTTAGTGACGAGGGCTTGGATAATGTAGGTGCGAACTTCGTCGGCGGTCGCGCTGTCCGAAAGGCTGGCTTTGGGTGTCATGGTCAAAATGGTCTTTCGGTAGGCACTTTACACATGTGGTGCAAGAAAGGGTGAGGCAGGAGCGGTATGATTGGGATCATAAATGGGGTTTGTTAGATAGTTTCCTCTCCTTATACCTAGGGGGAGCCGAGGCCCTCTGACAAGCGGCGCTGAAAGCTCCGAAGCTACTTTAGTCGGGCATCGTGCGATGGACGAACGATAGCTCTGTCATCTAATCAAGGTCTTACGACGTCATTATTGGTATGCTAGCACGCTAGAACTGTGGGTCAAGTTGAAGGGAGAGGCTTAGTGTAGGCCCCAGCCTCACTGGGCGTCTTGATCCCCGTGCCATTGTTCCGACAAGCCGACCCCGTTGAATACCCGCGGTACAGTGCCTTGCACCACCAGCCTGCCTACCTGGAACACTGATTTTATTTCCCAAACCCTCAAACCCCAGTAGCAGTCCTCATAGGGTCAGTATCGGAATCAAAGCTCTTGGCAAGCTATAGCTTGGTGTAGGCCTCGGAAAGGACCGCAAAGACCAAGGACCAGACCGCACCACTGCGGTTTGGTGCGGTCCTGCGGTCTTACAAACAAGACAAACAGTCTTATATCTTTGATGTGTATAAGTTATATATAGCTAGTTTGTATTCTTTATGTTCTGGTTTTACCATTTTATCTTCTGTATTACATAATACTGTTTTTGGTAATTATTATTCTTTTTATTTAAAAGCCTAGACTGTCTTTTTATCTTCCAAAATCTGTTCTACCTTTTATTAAACCTTATAATAGATTAAAAGTGGAGGATGTCTTTTCTTGATTCATGCTACAAGTTCTAGTCTTCTAGATATATACAAAATCCTTGTCCTGCTTTGATCTTTTTGAAACACGCCCAGATAAACGCCGCTGGGTTCCAGAATTATCATACAGGTGGCTGATATTAAAAAGAGGAATCTTATTATTATTCAGTTTCTCTACCTAATCTTCTATATTAGCGACTCTTCTCTTTTCTAGTATATGTAAACTTGGCTCTTGAGCAGCTGTATTAGGAGTGTTTATATCTTGGTCTAGAGCTATATCTTTTTTATCTTTACTAATAGAATCATACTCATCTTCTCTCTGCTCGGTATTATTCTGCTTCTTTCTTGAATACTTCTCTTATATAGAGAGATACTCCTCTATAAGAGTAAGCTGTTTCGATTTAATATTAAACTGTATTATATATATAAATATTATCAAGTCTTGTACAGTTTGTGGCTTTAATAATCCCCGCCGATAATAACATATATCCCGGGCAGAGTTAAAGAGCCTTTCTACTCCAGAGCCACTAGCTGGAATTGTTAAGACATCCCGTGCTAGGCTTGTAAGAATTGGATATTCAGTCTGGTATGTTTTCCAGAAGGTCAGTGGTGTTGATTAAACAGTACCTAATATTATTGTTAAATAAAGTATAATTATTAGAGATACAGAGTATAACTCACTGCTTCCAAGATACCGTATAACCTCATCCGGAACTTAAGATTGTATTTGAGAAGATATTGTAGGTCTAATAAGCATATTGATCTCTGAGATATTATTTATTATCTGAGTATTCGACATAGTTTATACCTCAGTATAGCGCTTATAATAAGGCTTGATGTAGGTTTCCAGTGATTATTTATATCGTAGGGCCCAGTCCTTTTCCTACTTAGATGTTAAGAAGAACTCCAGCTTATTCCGAAGGCTAAGAATAGTTCTAATTGTATAGAGATTACCAGAAATATCATCAGTCCTTTTATAGTATTCTGTAAGCTTATCACGCGTATATTCGAGTACTGACCTTATCATCCTTTTTTAACCAATTTTCTTGCGTGATAATTGTACTTTGGTGTTATTGATATAAGTAAACAAGACATTATAGATGCTAAAGATATTATGAATAGTCACATCAGTAGTCACAGACAGGGATAAAATAAACTTAAAGAATAAATAGATAATTAACAGTAGATAGTCGATCTGTTGTTATTTATTCTTATTTATCTGCATCTCAGTAAGATTAAACTGGACACAGAACTCATCAAAAATAGGCTGAAGGCAACGCGCACGCTGTAACATAAGGAATGTAGAGTTCCATCAAGTTCGAATATTTTATACGGGCATCAGCTTAGACTCCTCTGTTTGTAGTCTAATAAAGCTTTTACGGCGCTGAGGGCTTTTATTAATATAAACAGCAATCTTCCGAACCTAATAAAGAGTTAGTATTAGTACTTAAAATAGATAAAGATACAGATAAATAATAGATCTTATTTAATATTTTTATAATCTTTCTGTTCTCTTACCGAGTATAATCCTCTTTCTCAGTCTACTCCAACTCCTCTTTACTATTCTGAGGATTTGTGTTTATTTAACCAAGAAGCTCCTTCAGGCTTAGCTTTATAATATGTGTAATATATAATAGGCGTATAACTAATAGACAGCTTGGCAGCTCTAAAGATGTAATAGCTTTCTAAAGACTTGTTAACAGTGTTTTATTGTTTAAAGTATTGTTAGTTGTGATTATAAGTACTCGGTTTGTAATTTAGTGTTTTTTAAGTAGCTTAAGTAAAACTAAGCTTAAATAGCTACCGGTATAAGAGCCATAAAGTGGTTTAAATCCAAGCAAGATTTTACAATAATTCTACTTATAATCAATAAAGTAACCTGTTACTGCCATAAAAGCTTGATAAAATAGTAGTATCCAACAATCTAATACAATTGAGATCTTAGTACCTTCAGAAAGTAATTTCAGTAAGAAATCTTAATACTCCTGTACTTTCTGCTGAAGATAGCAATAAATAATTTTTGCTGTTGGTATTTTTGGTGTAGATAGAGCAAGATAAGCCATCTCAATCAGTACACAAAATTCAGAATATCCGACAAGCATAAATGGTAATTGGGAAGCAACAATAAATGTTGTTAGCCTATTCATCCAGGCTTGTGGCGAGAAGGCTTGTTTGTAGGGAAGATTTCCCTAATAAAAGTTAGATCAGAAGAATTAGAAACATAGAATATATATACCTTATTAAAAATAATCTTTCTAATATCTTGCGATTTGTTCCTTGCTTGTCTACAGATAGCTGCCTGTAAGCAATAGCGATTCATTATAGATATTTCGCGATATTTATCAGCAGAATGGGCAAGAATATAATTATAATTCTTATACATAACCTTAAGGGATCCATCATAGATAGCTGCAACTTGATAAAAGTACTCCCAGAAACCAGCCTAACGCTTCCCCTCGAAGATATTCCGCTTAATTATACTTCCATACTCAGTTCTTAACCACCACTTTACAAATTCTTCATTTACCATCTCGGTTCATAGAACGTATTTCTTTTTTGCTGAAGGATCAACACGCTCAAGAACTTCTGAAAGTGGGATTGGAACCACTGGTTGTATGAAATCTGGGTAGGAGTAGAAGTCAGTATCTCACATTCTTCTGAATTGATTAATTTATTAGATGCAAGAAAGAAGAGATTATCGGCTGTAGTATTTTTAAAAACCGATAAGAGATAATAATCTGAGAACTGAGAAGGCTGACTTTGTAATATTTTAGTAAACCAAAACTAAAAAATAAAAAGAAGAGAGGTTGTGGAGATTTTTAGAAGAGAAAGACTTACTGGCCTTTTTTAATGGTGGAGAAAAGATGCTACTGGTAATTTATAGGAAAATGAATTTAAAACTAATGTTTTGTTTATTCTGAAATACTATACTGTTGATTGGTTATTAGAACCCACAAAAAGGTCCTTGGACCGCACGGGACCGCATAAAACCGCAAAAGGACCGCCAAATAACCGTCTGAGAATTGGCAGTTCAATCTTATATATAAACTATTTGTCTATTCTGAGAGAAGTAAAAATATATATCTGGTATTATGCTACTAATCTATCTAAATTATTTATTCTATTCATTCTCTCTGCTTTCCCTGCTCAACTTGGTCTCCCTGCTATATCTGCTTATTCTGATCTACAGAACCGCAGACCCGGTTCGGAGGGCATGGAGAGTCTGGCTTCTAATAATACAGCTGGGTAGCAAGTTCAATAGAATAGAGAGTCCGGCCTTTAATAAAGATTATAATCACCGTCCTGGACAGTATAAGAAGTAGTATTACAGTTTATTATAAGTTTTTAGTAAAAAGTTCTACTTGTATAAGTTGTTTTCAAAGTATAAAGCTGAAGGAATAGTATAATCTATTAGAGACTTGGTAAAAGAAAGGTATTTTCTAACAAAACAAAACCGTTGTTGTATGTTTGTAAGATACCGTGATTAATAATTATATTTATGTAGATTGAAAGAGAAGAACTTGGCATATTTATACAGAAGCGGTTCCCCGGAGTAAAGACCGCCTAGGACCACGGGAGACCATGGTGCGGTCCTGGGTAATTTAAGCAAAGACCAAAGACCTCATGGTCCGGTTCTGGTCCCAAATTTCAGGACCGGGACCGCACCATTCCTAGGCCTAGCTTGGTGTATAATTAGGTTACAGTTTAGGCATGATTTTATATTGCGTATGTTTTGATACACGGACCTTATCCAGTACAGAAAACATGAGATATATACTTGAGGGTATGAAGTCTTATCTCTTCATATATATTTTTTGATATATTGTTCTGCATCTGTCTTTTAATCCACCTACTTCCCGGTGAATCTCACGAAGTTTGTTGGATATGCGTTGTGTTTTGAAGTAGGGATTTGGAACCCTGGAATTCTGCGCTGTTTACCAGATACAATGTATGAGGTAGGTAGTCCCTCCACTTACGTCGATTGTCATGGTTGCTATTCAGAAACACCTGGGCCAAACAATTGTCTGCCCGTTCTTTTTTACGATTCTAGGATCTTCGATTATCCACTAATGCACGTGCCATGGTTCGATCAATGTGTAAATTTTCGAAGTCCTTGCTTCCTTCTTTTCACCAGCTTAGACAATTTGATATGTTTCAAGCCTCTGGCCCACAGGTACAGACTGTGGTGGCAAATAATCTTATTCTGTTCCTTATAGTTCTCTTTGGTCCGTTAATTGCAGCCTTACCCATACATAACAAGGCATAATGGTTATAACTAACTCTGTGGTACTGACTCTAGGCGATTCATCACCGTTCAGCAGAAATAGGCAATAATATATGCTCTGTTATAATGGATGAAGACTCTTAATTCCAGCCTTACAAATCTTGGAATGGCAACTCAGTCTATGCCCTAGTTTCGGATAATCTTGGACCTGCATTTACACAGTTAAGCTCCTTCCTTCAAACATAGATTCAACACTAACCCCACCTCCAAACATACATTAACAGACCAATTAGCATTTCTTCCATTCGCATAATGGCAAGCGGGTCGGGTCTATAGTAAACAACCATAGAACTATGTTCGCTATCGAATCAACCAGAAAGTAATCCTGAATAGAAAAAACATTGCTCAGGTTATTATGATTATGAAAAATGCGCTGGGCTTCGATAGAGGTGGGTTATTTCGCTCTGTTGTGGAACTGAGCTTGCTTCGAACAGGATTCCTGCCCTGGATATGCTGGTCGCATACTTAGTATAGGACGGGTGTATGTGTAAACTGCCAGGGCTTTCCATCAACGCTATAACGGACATCCCCAAACAAGGCCGAGCAAAACTGGCGGGAAACTTCTAGAAACGTTACACGTACTTCATTTTACTCTCATGACCCAGCAAGCGAGCCTATAGCGCAGACCGGGGATCATCCGGGCTCTCCGATATCGACACTTTGCAACCAGCATATCGTCGCCGCAAAGGTAGCCTTACTGGGACGGGAGTCACATGGCAGGGAAATCTCGGAGCCAGCCTCATTCCCCTCCCGAGTCACCACCACCACCACTTGATCCACATAGCACCATCAACACCTTCGTTGAGAACTCGGAGAGCTTCCTTCCTTTCCGGCTCTCGGTTTCAAAGCCACTCCCCTCACGCATACATTATCGGGAAAGCCAACTATACGGGAGCATTCAACTTCCAATTAGTGTCGATGCCCCAGCCCAGCCCCCCTCCCCCGGGTGCCTACCTAATTATGAAGCAGTCACTGTACAGGTATCGCAACAGTCATCATGGCTTGCTAGAAGTCTGCATAGATTGGTAAGATATCCCTGTCGTTCTTTATACACTCTAGACATCGACAATCCTCCCCGTCTTCGATTCTTCCAGCCACCGGGGCTCACTACGCGCCGGCTCCAGCTTCGGTCCACCTGAAATCCCCACGAACTTGTTACACCACGCAATGACAGTATTCCACCAGACCAGACTATTCTCCCGACCGAGAACAAAATGATTCTCATCCGGGAAATTCAGCAGCCGCGTCTCGATCCCCTTCAACCGGCACGCGGCATACGCCGCCCACCCCGCTGTACTGGGGCACCGGAAATCCTTATCAGAATGGATAATGAGCATAGGCGTCGACCAATTCGTGAGATACTCGACGGGGTTCCACTTCCGCCAGAGCTCCTTCACGCTGGGTGGGTCTCTATCCGCCGAGGGCGCATCGGTAAAGTACGGCGACCCGAACGAGCGGGTAAGCTCCTCCTTCTGCGCTAGATCGTCACCAAGCAGCTCGGCGATCACATCAAAGACCCCATCGTGGCATACAATTGCCTTGAGCCTCTTGGCCAGCGGCTGGCCCGCGACCCACAGGGCCATGTAGCCGCCGTAGCTGGCGCCAGCGGCCACGGCCCGGTCGGTGTCGCACTTGGTGGACAGGTTGTCTTCGACCCAGCGGAAGCAGCGCTCGATATCGTGGTAGGGGTGGCCGCCCCATTGGCGCGAGACCGCGCGCGTGAATTCCCGCCCGAAAGAATCCGAGCCTGTGAAGTTGGGGATCGCGACAATGTACCCCTGTTCTGCCACTAGGGCTGCATTCCACCGCCAGGTCCATGCGTCTTTCATGGCAGAGCTGGGACCGCCGTGCATGAGGATGAACAACGGGTGCTTGGTGGCGGAGGTCGGGTTGTAGTCGGAGGGCTTCAGGATCCAACATTGCACGGGGGTCTCGCCGTCGGGTCCGCCGGGGTAGGTGATGGATTCGACTTGCTTAGAGGAGATACCGAAGTAGTCGCCGTGGTTGGAGGAAGTGTAGATGATCTGGCTGTTCTCGGATTGGTCATCGCCGCTGGTCAGGGGCGTGACGATTGAGAAAAGTCCCTGGTCGATGAACGACGAAGACGTGGCCAGTAGGCGGGTCTCGGTGTCGAGTTCGCTGAGACGATACAGTGCGGAAACCGAGCCGGAGATGCTAAGCTCCTTGGGGATGACGGTTTGATGCTTCTCCAGGGAAAATGGCGGAATACGCACCTGGTACACCCGAGCCCGAGCTTGGGCGTTGGCAGTCATATACAATTTGGTGCCATCGTTAGCCCACAAAATCGCGTCCGGGAAGACGTCCCACTGACTCTCCGCGAGGTCGACCGTCCGCAGAAGAAAGACAATGCTCATAGTGTCGACATCCACGAGACCTATTGTTTTATGCGACCACTCCTCGCGGTCCTGGTCCACAAGAAACGCAGCCAAGGGGCCTTTGGGCGCGAAGGTTGGGGTCGAAGCCACGTTGGCATGACCTGGAACACGAATCTTTCGTAGGGGCGGCAGTTCAGTCTCCTGGAACGTCGACAATGGGATAAAATACAGCGACCGCTGCGTTTCGATCCATTCTGTGCTTCCGGGTTCGCTTGTGGCGAAGAGAATCCCATATGTCGAGATGCTCATCTCCGCGGAGCTGGACGAGTCGGCATAGAGGGGCACCGCCAGCCCGGTGTCTCGCAGCGCATTTATTGGGCCAGCCGGAGACAGGTGCCATTTCTTGATCTCGCCATCAAGTTTCAGCACCGTGAACCAAATGACCGAGCGATACTGGTCGACATAGGTATCCCAGCTTCTGGGACGACCATACGCCCATTCGCGAGCAGTTGTCGATGGTTTCTCGGTCTTTGCCGTGCTATATAAGTTCTGATCGGCATCCGCCGGCGCAGTGAAGACAAAGGCAATGTCCCCGTTATCCAAGACTTTAGTTCTGACGTCGTTCAACTTCGCGTTGATGGTACCGGCGAGATAGGGCCTGGATGGTGACGACACCACGGTCAGTACTCTGCTGTCTTAATGGCTCACTCGATCGGATAGATTTGAGCCGTACCGTATAGTGCTGTCAGCATCGCCAATCCACAGCTCAGTCTCCTTGTTCTTCTCGCCCTCCCGCTCCCACAGTAGGGACGATCCCCGCAGCCAACGGAACGAACTTTCCTTGGGGTCATTGCTGTATCGAGTCGACTTTCCTGTCCCTAGGTCAAGTATTTTGACGTCTGTACGGCTGGTGTGTGTTGCGAGATCGTAGGTCGAAACGGTGTAGAGCGCGAATTTTCCGTCATTATTCGGGACTGCTTCCGAAATTCTTGGAGCGGTGACTAGCAGTCTGTTGGGTAGTTCCGAAAGAGTCAGCGATATTGCTCCTCAATATACACTTGATCACGGCAAGGACATACTCGGGGGTGAATTTCTTCGGGGCTGGCATCTTGGGGAGCTGTGGGGAGGGGTTCGAGGTTGATGACACGCTAGTCAGCGATGTGTAGGTACGTGTAGTGAGGGGAAGTTCGTCTTAATGATAGTTACCTGGCGGCCACTAACCGGAGCTCCGACGCTGATGGTCTGACCGTGCCGGGGCACCTGGCCTAACTCAAGTTAGCGAGCTATATGTAAACCCGCGAATGCGAAGAGCATGCATAATCAGCACTTGTGAATTATGCACTTAAGTTGTGCAATGATGGCGTTCTATTGCGCTTATCAAGCTGCGCGTACTGCCTTACGCCTGGAACGATAAGGCGTTATCGGTATTTATCACGTGACACTCATGGATCTAACCTGTCCCCTGCTATAAGCATAAGATTTCCTACGACCCTCCACATCCAGCACATCAGTAGACACCTCCAATTATAAGAATCAGCCATCATCCGACCAGCTTCTGCATGCTGGGCCTGTTTATTCCTCATCTTGATGTACCTGGCCACAAATATACGGTCATGGATTAAACTTCCCAGCTCTACGGATTGTATCGACAGGAAGCGCCAGAAATTCAGCAAGAAAAAGCATCCACACGTCTTCAATCGAAAGGTTATCTGAGACCCACTGCACTGCAATTGGTGCGAGCAGGCTCAGGATTGCCAGCCGGTGGCCCACGAACCACCTTGAAGAAACCATAATAATATGATTGCGTGGCGTCTGGGAGAAGGTTAAATGAAATGCTTGGAGACAGTTCGCGGGTCTGTCGGTAGAAGAAGCCCAGCAGCCCTTCATCCAGCTGGTGTAACGCTTAGGACACAGGCACAAGCTGAGGCCAAGTAGTATCAAATTTGTGCATGTGGGGCGGAGCGGTGTGTTTGAGAGTGGTAATCGTGGCGGTTGAGCTTGGGTAGAATCATCCCTGTTTGAGGTACAAAGAAAATTGAAGGTATATCCAGCCTCAGTACCAGACTGTACATAGATCAACCGGGACATGCTATTTGCTCTCTCCCTGTTCTCATCGTGCAAGGAGCCCATCAAAGGAAGGGTTTCTTCTTGGGTGTATCCTTCGAATATAGCTACCATGGGGAACATAGTCAAGAAGAAATGTCTTCGGACATTGACTGGGACAAATCCCAGCGCAACTTCAATACACCACTTTGTTAGTCCGTCTCACCGATATTGACCATAAAGTTGCCCCTGGTCTTCTGCCATGATATCATGCTGGACGATCCAACATTCCGGCGATCGACAGTTTATGCGAGGAATGCTACCACCAAAACAAAACACAACTCAGACACGACAAGCTATAAGAACCTCACCACTCCACACAGCCTCTGGCATACAACAATCATCCCACTGCGAATATGCATCTACGCGCATTATCGACCCTGACGCTGCCGCTGACCCTCCTCATTCCTCTCACCACATCTCAGACCCTCAACATTGTAGCCCACCAAGATGACGACCTTCTCTTCCTCTCGCCAGACCTTCTGCACAACATCCAATTAACGACGCTTTCCACCCCAACACGTACAATCTTCCTCACGGCCGGCGATGCCGGGGACACATCCTCCTACTGGACATCGCGTCAAGCCGGTTCTCTGGCCGCCTACGCGCGCATGGCCAACGCCCCCAACACATGGACCGAGTCTACTCTTTCCGTCCCTGACACCATTCACGCAATCCCGTTATACACGCTCACCGCAAACCCATCCATCTCCCTCGCCTTCCTTCAACTTCCCGACGGCAATCTGCACGGCGAAGGTTTCCCCACCACGGGCAACGTAAGCCTCCAACAGCTCTGGCAAGAGAAGATCCCGTCCATCTCTAGCCTAAACCCTGCTCAAGAAAGCACATATACAAGAGACACCCTGCTCTCGACTCTCAGCGCGGCCATCGCCTCCTTCAACCCTGTCCGCGTGGACACCCTCGACTTCACTCGGGACTTCGATGCAACCAGCCCCTCGGGAGGTGGTTCATGGTCGGATCACAGCGACCATCTCGCGACTGCCCGATTCGCGCAAGCAGCCGCGCAGGACTGCGCGGCCAAGGGGAAGTGGAATACGGAGGTGGTCGGGTATATGGGATATCCGGTGCTGGACGCGCTGCCGCAGAGTGGGAATGTGCGGGGCGCGGAGTTGGTGGAGAAGCAGTTGGTATTCTATACGTATGCCTTGAGTGATTGGCGGACTTGTCGGGACGATGGGGGGTGTAAGGGAGGCAATGAAGAGGGGTGGCTGGCGAGGCAGATTGTTGTGTCCTCGAGTCCGGGGACAATGGTTGCTAGTGCGCAGGTTGTGGCCAAGGAAAATGGGGATGGAGGGTTTGGAGGACGCTGGGGATTTGTGAGGGCTGGCGACACAGTTGAGTTGACCGGGGAGGAGAGTAACGGGGCGTTGCAGTATCGTTGGAAGCAGGTGGAGGGGGTACAGGTGCAAGTGGAGGATGCTGAGAGCCCGAAGGCCACGGTCACGGTGGCAGGGGTACAGGTTGGCGAGAGGTTAGGGTTTGAACTGGTGGTGATCGGTGATGGGGGCGTGGAAAGTACGCCAGCACGCGTGAGCTTGTTTGTGGTACCGGGGGAGGATGTTGCACCACGAGCGAGCAATGTCACGGCTTCGTCGGAGAATGCTGCAGGTGGCCAGTCGGCTGCTAAGGCTGTTGATGGCCGGGTTGGGGGGTATCCTGGGGATACGTCGATGGACTGGGCCACGGTGGGTGGGAGGGAAGGCAGCTGGTGGAGGCTGGAGTGGGACTCGCCGCACATGATCTCCCAGGTTTACCTGTTCGATCGACCGAACACGTTAGACCAAGTCACGGGGGGTGTGGTGGAGTTCGATGATGGCAGCAGTACTGTCTTTGCTGCCCTCTCCAACTATGGTGAACCGAATAGCGTGAACTTCGAGCAGAGGTCAGTCCACGCTCTGACAGTTAGAGTCACTTCCGTGAGCTCCACAACGGGCAACGTGGGACTGGCAGAGGTCAAAGTGTTTTGACGTGCTGTGGGCACGATGAGCATTCTGCACTTAGGGTTACAATGATAGACTCCCTCTCTCACGTTAATGGTATTCCGGATCAGTCTTAGATTTCAGCGCTTTACCCTGGGCATATATGACGGTCTAACGGTACTCCACGTCCCCAAGGGCGTTTCTGAAAGAGACGAATTTAATAAGCATCGAGAAAAAGAGAAACATTTCTGGTAAAACTAGGCAACGGTTAGACTTTTCACAGGGAGCACAGTATCATCTGTGATTTATTGTAAAGTATAGATTAATAGGACAAATTCGGTCCATGCGTAAGCATTGATAGGACTGTCACCTTAAAGATTGAACTAGGGGATCACCTGGGCCTACCAATGCCACGGCAAAAACTCCACCCTGATCGTCACCCCGGGGACAAGCTCGGAGTCTCCTTCGACGCTGGGTGGAAACAGGCGGCGCCTTATTATAAGGCACCCACCGCCGAGTCCATTGGTGCAAGCTGTTGTCGTCAAACTTCAAGTCGAAGGTAGAGAACGGCTCCTCCTTCGGATTGGTGTCATCGTCCAGGCTCTCGTCGGGCAAGAGTACTCGGTAGCACTGAACCAGAGATCCCGCGCGGCAGAAGCCGTATAAGGGAGGGGCTTCCGGAAAGCGTTCTCGGAGCAGTCGAAATGACTCGGCCAGGCGCGGCTCGAGGGTCGCCCAATCGAAGTCAGCCGCAGGTGAGGTTTCATCGTCCATGATATAACGGTAAGGGACAGGGGGCTCGCTCGGTCTTATATACATGCCCTGCCGCTGCCTATGTCAGTGGATAGGTCGTATGTTGAAAGGACGTGAATTGCCTTCGTGCGGAATTGAGTCTGAGATAAATGATGTCAACATTCGAGACAGATGACAATTAAAGATGAAATAGGGTTACTTTGCTTGCCTTTTCTTGCCTTTGTTTGTCTTTGTAGTCCAGCAGTTTATATTTTATATAACTATAAAATATTAATATTTTATATTAATAATTTAAACGCGCCAGCTACACCAAACAGCACGCCACCATTGAATTATCGATCGGGAAGAGGAAAAAGTTATATCTAGCTCCCTTCTGGATCGATTCAACATCTTTTAACAGCGTTTTCAGCCCTCATGGTTGTGTGGCAGCTTGATGCTGTCCAAAATGCCTCCCTGAAAGCCAACATAGCCTCAGATCGGGGCCGACCACCGCTATAAGAATTTACAAGCACACGCGATAGCCATCAACAGCGCCCTCAAGCAATTCAAAGAAGAACAGGGAAAGACAGGCAACGGTCCGCCTAAGTCGATCTTTCTCCCGCTGATCGAAAACCTTATCAATTTTGCCAGCCGGGTCGTTGAGACGCCCTCGGTCGAGGCCCTCCGCGAGGACCTTAAGAAGATCAAAAGCACCCTTCAAACGCAGGCGAACCAGCAACTGCAGATCGCCAAAACCGTCAACAGCCTCAGCAGGCCCGCGGCTGCCTCGCCGCCGGTAACGGCCCCCGGGGCGCGCTCGTACATCGACACCGTTCGCCGCGCGGTCGCAACCGCCACCTTCGGATTGTATATAAGCAATTAGCTCGCCAAGGCCCAAACCAACGCAACCGACGCCGCAGGCGAGTCGGCGAGCTCAAGCAGCCCACCGGTACAGCCAGCCCTCGCTAAGAACCTTGTTATCCACGTGCGAAAAACCGCGGACACCATGGTCAACCCGCTGCGCCGCGATAACAAGGCCTTGGTAGACCGCGTCAACAAGAATATCGCCGACACGAAGGATAAGATAATCGCCCACCGCAAGGTCCTTGCGGGCTCCGTATTACCCAGCGGCAGCATGATCCTTACAGCCGACAACCTAAAGAATCTGGAACGCCTTATCCGCACACGGTCGCCATGGGTCAAGGTGCTTAGCCCGAACGCAACAATCAAGAGACGCGGGTACTCGATTGCAGTATACGGTATGGATATCGGCCGTATCAACCACGAAAGCCCCGCGAAGCAGCAGAAGGCCTTAGCCGAGAGGATCAAGGCCGCCAACACCAGCTGCCTGGCTGCAACACCCACCGAGGTCACGTACGTTGGCTGGGTGCGGCCCTGGAAGACCGTCACCAGGGAGAGCAAGCCCTCTATACTAATAGTTGAACTCGACAGCTCAAACGCGGCGAACGCCCTTCTCCGCGGAGGCTTCGTGCTCGACGGCAAGTACTTTAACACTAGTTACTACGACCGCGATCAGCAGCTCTTGCAGTACTTTAGATGCCAAGAATCTAACCACATCAAGCAGTACTGTCGAAGAAACCGGGCCTGCGCGTACTGCGCGCGCTCATACAAATCCATAGACTGTACATTTAAGAACGACAAGACACACGCCAGATGCGCGAACTGCAGGCTGAAGCACTTCGCCTTTAACCGCATCTGCGCAAAAAAGAAGAAACGCCTTAAGGCCGTCAGACAACACCGGCTGGACGCGCCTGCGCTGTACGCCGAACTCCCCGTCGGCGGCAGCAACGCCACCGCTTCAACCGCGCCGGCTGACGCTATACCGGTTAACACCGTCCCCGAGCTGAGCTCTAAGCTGGCTCAATCGTAACACGCCCGCGGCCGCTCGACTATGAAGACCAAGACCAAGGCGGCTCGCAGCAAGAGCCGCCGCAAATCGACCACAAAGCCGGAGGCCGCACTAGTTCCGGCAGTGGAAATCCTTGCCGAGGTGGAAACCTCCCGCGGCAAGCGGCTGAAGCAACGTCACGAGGAGAACAACCAGAAAATTATAAAGATTGATATCCGCAGTCAAAGTCCTTCCATGGGCAACGCTCCGGCACAAACCGCAACGCAGCCCGCGGCGGCTTCGGTTCGCAGTCTCGAGAATATCCAGAACGCCGTTAAAGTCGTGAACCGCTACCGCAGCCAACGCCGTAACCAATTCACCGTCCCGGACGAGAGCAGCGACGATAAACTCAGCGCCCTCGCCCCCGACGCCACCGAACCCACCGAGACCGCCAGCAATGAATAAGTACCGCAAGCGGCTTGAAATCGTACAGGCAAATTGTTGGAAATCCAATAACATTATAACGCACCTCCTCGGTAAGAAGAGGGTGCGGAACACAGGGCTTATTGCTATTCAAGAGCCCTGGGTGAACCGCTACGGCAGCCAGTTAACCACATACTCCCAGGCTCTGGAAGACCGCTTCCACCTGGCTTTAAAACCGACACCAAGCATGGGCCTTGCACCGCGCGTCTACTTCTTCGTAAGCAGGCATATTAACCCGAAGACGTGGACGGTCCGGCACCGCTCTCGGTTCCTCAGCACCCTCACACTGCAGGTTCCGAACACCGGCCGCGTCCATATCCACAACATATACCGGCCCGGAAAGGGCAGCGACCAACGCGAAACCGACGAGCCCGAGCCGACACCCGAGCCCGAAAACAACAACCTCCGCGAAGAAAAAGAGAACCCGGTCCTGGAACTGCTGTTCGCGGCGTTGCAGAAGCCGGGCGAGCATATGGTCCTCGGCGATTTTAACCTGCACCACCCGCTTTGGAATCCGCCGGGGTACGACCACACCGACGAGGCAGCCACCCGGCTGCTTGACATCGCTACCGACAAGGATTTAGGACTGCTTCTGCCGGAAGGAGCAGTCACGTACGAGAAAGGCAACGCCCGTACCACGATCGACCTTGCATGGGCCACGCAGTGGCTCGGTGAACGCCTCAGCTACTGTTCTCCGCGGGAGGATTGGTGGCTGGGCGTCGATCATATACCGATACGAACTGTCTTGGACTTCAGCCCGGCGCCCGCCCCTGCGGTAAAGCGTCGGGACTGGATAAACACCGACTGGCAAGCCTACAGAGGCGAACTGGCCAGGCGACTGGGATTGCGACCGATTACAAGCCAACTGGCCAGGCCGATTACGATTGACGCAGCGGTAGAGGACCTCGTCGAGGCCCTAACTGCCGCCGCCGAAGCCGCCACGCCAACGAAAACAATCTCGGGCCACACACGGCCCGGCTACACCGAGGAAATGAAGGAACAAAGCACCGCGTACAGCAGGCGAAGCGGTGGGCCAAGTCCGGCCGCCGCGCGGACCGCGAAGCCTACAGCCGAGCCCGCAACGTACTGTACCGGCAAACTGCTAAGCAGAAGCGTCAGCTTCACCGTGAGAGGGTAGAAGATGGGGGGCGCTCCATTGAGGGATTTTGGAAACTGGCCCGCTGGGCCCGCACGCGCGGGGACCCGAGGCCTACATTTACACCCGCACTGCAGTCGCCAAGCGGGGAATTGGTGGAGGAGCCAGAGGCTAAAGCCGAGCTGTTTCGGCAGGCCTTGTTCCCGGCCGTCGGCACCGCAGACCTTACCGATATTGAAGGTTTCGAATACCCCGAGCCGCACGACGCGCCCCGGGTGACCCTGGAGGAGATCCGCCGAGCCGTTCGGCAAGCCGCACCCAGGAAGGCTCCCGGCCCCGACGGGCTGCCCAACCTGGTCCTCCAGCAAGCCCTCCCTCTCATTGAAGAACGCCTAAGCGAGATCTTTAACGCATGCCTTGATATAGGCTATTGCCCCCAGCACTTCCGCCGTTCAACCACCGTCGTCATCCGCAAGCCTGGTAAAGACGATTACACCGTTCCTAAGAACTACCGCCCAATCGCACTACTCAACACCGTGGGTAAGGCCCTGGAGGCTATCGTCGCCTCCCGGATAAGCTACATGGTGGAAGCCTTGGGCTTGCTCCCGGAGCACCACGTGGGTGGGCGCCGGGGGTGGTCCTGCGATCACGCCCTGCACCTTATCCTAGAGCAAGTCCACGCTGCGTGGCGAACTGGTCACCCGGTAGCCAGTCTGCTCGCCGTGGACACCCAGGGCGCCTACGACAACGTCATCCACCAACGCCTTATCCACAACCTGCGGAAACGCCGCGTACCGGCCAAGATCGTCAACTGGATTGCTTCCTTTCTTGCCAACCGGCCAACCGCCATCGCTATACAGGAGGGAGTTATGGAGGAAAGGGACGTAGCCGTCGGCATCGCCCAAGGCTCGCCGCTCTCACCCATTCTCTACCTGTTTTATAACGCCGACCTGCTCGAACTGCCTGCCGTGGGCGGCCGCACCCTAATCGTTGGTTATGTAGACGACGTCTGCATGCTAACATGGGGGGATACCGTCCTTGAGAACTACGCCCGCTTGCAACGCCTCCACCGCCACGCCGAGGTCTGGCAACGCCAACACGCCTCGGTATTCTCACCTTCGAAGTACGGATTAATCAATATGGTAAGGGGCCTTCCCCGCACGGGGACGCCCTCCGCTATGCGGCTAAACGAGCCCTTAACCATTGCAGGAGCAATAGTTAAACCGACGCAAAGCCTCCGCTATCTCGGGGTCTTCTTGGACCCGGAGCTGGCGGGAACCGCCCACCTCTCGCAGTTGGAAATTAAAGCCACCCGGCTCACCGCAGCGCCCTCCTCAATTGCAGGCTCCACCTGGGGCGTGCCCACCGCCAGCCTCCGCCGTATGTATACCGCTGTTCTCCTTCCCCAGTTGCTATTCGGGTGCTCCACCTGGTTCATCCGGGGCGCCCGGGGCTTTCAGAAGACCGCCACCGATATTACAAAACGCTTTGAGAGCATCCAGCACAAAGCCCTATGCCGCGTGGCAGGGGCATTTCGCACTACCGCCCGGGCTGCCCTTGAGGTATGCCTCAACGTCCCACCGCCGCAGATTCTGATTAAGCGAGCCACCGAGGACGCCTGCCTCCGGGTTATGGCGTCACCGTTCTACCACCGAGCCCTACTCCCGATCCGACGGGCCCACCCCGGCAGACGCCGTCCCGGTGGCCCGGAAACCGACCCAGCCATGTCACCACTGAACCGCCTTGAACGCCGACTGGCCCGAGACCTCGGGCTTGACCCGGGCATACCGGTGCCCATCGAGATCATCGAACCGGTGCTGGTTCCACCGTGGTGGAACCTCCCCGCTATCGATATCGCCGACTCCAGGGAGGAAGCCCTCCGAAGACACGCCCTCCTACCCCCTACCGTCCTCCCCGCGTACACCGACGGCAGCGGCCACTCCGGTGGCATCGGCGCTGCAGCAGTGATCCGCAATGAGAACCGAATCATGCCGGTTGGCCGAGAGGACACCCACACAGTGTACTCTGCGGAACTAACTGGCATAGAACTCGCCCTGGCCCTCGCTGAAGGAGAGCCCGACACGCCCACCCACGGGGACACCGCTCCCCGGGTGGTGTCGACTCTGGCTACCCCCAAGCCTAAATCAGTGGTGGTTCTCACCGACAACCAAGCGGCCATACGGGCCTGCGCTGAGCCCCGGCGCCAATCGGGGCAAGCCATTATCAAACGGGTGGTCCACCGGCTCGACCGCATGCGGGAGGCCGGCTGGCAGGTGCGCCTTCAGTGGCTCCCGGGCCACGAAGACGTGCCGGGCAACGAACTGGCAGACCAACGTGCCAAGGCAGCGGCCGCTCGGGCCGCCGGCCAACCGGTGTCCTCCATGCTAATCTCCGCCGTACGCCAAAGGCTTAGGGATCTAGCCAACCGGCAATGGAAGGCCAACTGGGCTGGCAACCCACACGGCTTCCACACCCGCCGCATTCTCACCGACGCGGCGGAGGGTAAGCGAGCCCTCAGTCTGCACACGGGCCTTCACCGGGCATGGTCCTCGGTGCTGGTCCAGATGCTAACTGGCAAAATTGCCCTGGGTGCTTACCTAGGAACTATCGGGGCCGCCGAATCGACTGCATGCCCCTGCGGGTGGGGGCCCCAATCGGTTAAACATGTCCTTATCGAGTGCCCGAGGCATGACTCTCTTCGTTGGAGCACCCTCTGGGCTAAGGGAAGACTCACTGACTTCCGGCGTCTCTTCGGAGAGAGGACAGTAAAGCAAACGATCCGCTTTATACTGCATACGAGGCTTCTGGGTCAATTCCAAAGCCTAACCGACGTCGTTCTTAACGCTACGTCCACCGAGACGTGACCGCCTTCGGCATGCAGGCGGGCTGCCAACTGCCAGCCAGTCTGCGCGCCAACCGGCTGCCTCTCCCAGCTTCCTCGGGGGCAGGGGCTGCAGCCAACTGGCTTTCTTCGAACAGCAAGCTTTTATTCGTCATATCGAGGCCATGATATCCGGAGGCCCTCGGGCCAACCGGTGAAGACTACTAACAACGGACCTGGGCGCTGAACTGCGTGGCAACTGGCGGCCGCGGCGGCAACCGGTGGGAGGAAGACACGCCGTAAGGTAGGTATAGAGGTAAAGTATGCCCGGCGGCCACCAACGCCGCCAGTTCGCGACGCAGGAAGGAACCTACGTGGTACTACAAGAACTACGTGAGAGTCGAGAATTCAAAGGGAAAAACAGGCCAACTGGCCAACTATTTTATTTTGTATATAGACTTGACACCCCGGTGGCCTGCCCAGCCGCCGGACTGGGACCTGCCGCCACTCGGCCATTAGGGCTGACATATGCGTGTATGATAAATTCAATTCAATTCAATTCAATTCAAGCGCTACCGCTTGAAGAAGGCCCGTGGCGAGGACCACGACGTGATGGAGGCGGATATCGAGGTGGTTGCGATACCGTCCTCCCCAGCAGAGAACCCGCCGGCCCTCAGTTCAGCCGCCCTTAAGGCCGTTGGCGCGCGCCGGAGGGACCGCAGCCTGAAGAGCAGCCAGCACGCCGGCGAGGAGTCCTCCTCCGAGGACGAACTCAGCGCGGTGAGCGGCACCACCGACTTCTCCTAATGGTAGTTAGCCCGCTATCTATCCTGCAGGCCAACCTCTGCGGCTCCCGTAACAAGGTAGCCATGCACCTCTTCAGTGAGGAGGGGGTGCAGGATCACGACCTCTTGATGATTCAAGAGCCCGTGATCAACAATCTAACTGACCCGGTCTCAACGTACTCGCAAGCCCTTAACGGGCGCTTCCACACCTGCCTGCAGCCGCACCCGAAAGACGCGCCAAACCCACCGCATGTCTGCACGTACGTCAACCGGCGAATTG